TATATTTTCCTGTATACTTTCACTTGTTATTTACTCCCCAAAATGCACGCCTGCAATTTAAAATCACTTGAGAAAACAAGAGGTGTGTCCTAATTTGCATATGCACTACTCTATGCTGTGTTGTGGTATAAATAATGCGAGTAGTTTTCACACTGAAAACTCCAAATAGACACAGTGCACTTTAAATACCTAGTTGATGCGCTTAAAGGATTAGTTCACTTTTGAAAAAAACTTTTGCTGATAATTTACTCACCCCCATGTCATCCAAGATGTCCATGCCTTTCTTTCCTCAGTCGAAAAGAAATTTAGGTTTTTGATGAAAACATTCCAGGATTTTTCTCCATATAATGGACTTCAATGGGAACCGGATGGTTCAAGGTCCAAAAGATAGTGTTAATAACAGTTTCAGATGCAGCTTCAAATGTCTTTAAACGACACCAGACGATGAATAAGGGTCTTATCGTGCGAAACGATCGGTTATTTCAAAACTTATTCCAAAAATGTAACTTTTCTAAGGACAAATGCTAGCCTTGCTATATATTCGCGTTTGTAACGTCACGTAATACGTAATTACGTTCAAAAGGTCACGGGCGACGTAGCCGGAAGTACAGAATCAAAATCGTCCGACATCGTTGTTTTTCCTTTTAATTCCTTTTTTTGTATACGGTGTTTGAGCTAGCTTTCACGTTCAACCTATGCGTTCAACTTGTAAACACTGACTCTGTACTTTCGGCTACGTCGCCCGTGACCTTTTGAACGTAATTACGTTATACGTGACGTTGCAAACGTGCCTCACAGAATAGAGCAAGGCTAGCATTTGTCCATAGAAAAGTTACATTTTTGGAATGAGTTTTGAAATAACCGATCGTTTCGCATGATAAGACCCTTATATATCGTCTGATATCGTTTAAAGACATTTGAAGCTGCATCTGAAACAGTTATTAACTGTCTTTTGGACCTTGAACCATCCGGTTCCCATTGAAGTCCATTATATGGAGAAAAATCCTGGAATGTTTTCATCAAAAACCTACATTTCTTTTCGACTGAGGAAAGAAAGACATGGACATCTTGGATGACATGGGGGTGAGTAAATTATCAGCAAAAGTTTTTTCAAAAGTGAACTAATCCTTTAATTAAACGGAAAAACAAAGTGTGGATTGTTGGACACTTCATGCACTCAACTGTCGCAGCTTTCTTTACGTGGCCAAATCAGACTCTGATGCTGGATGACCAAATAACATATAAAATTCATAAACATAGCAAGTGCTTTTTTTAATCTTCAGAAAATGTAAACTATTATCACACAGCTCAATATACAAAGTAGGAACTACAGTATATTATATCCAACTTTATCCACATACACACTGGAAAATAATTATTTGTAATGTAGAAATGTAATTAAAGCAATAATCTAAGAAAAGTAGAAGGTTTGTATTACAATAGTTTTATCTACAACTTTGATATATATATATATATATATATATATATATATATATATATGTATTACAAAAGTGATATACTACTGTGTATAATGTAGATTTGTCCCAAAATGTATCTACCAGCTCTCTATATAAAGTTGAATAGAGTACACGTATAAAGCAATTTATAGCAAATCTCAATATACTTAAATTGTTTATATCGTCACAAAATTAAACTTATTACCCAGCTTTGCTAAATGGTAGATTACATAAGGCGTAAATATTAATATATATTAAGAAGATTAACATTGTGATTTTCTGTAAAGCTGCTTTGAAACAATATATTGTGAAAAAAGCTATATAAATACATTTGAATTGACATTAGGCTATTATTTATTTAATAAATAATAATAAAAACTTTCCAAAAATACTTTTTATTCTATGGCAATACTATTGTAGTGTTACTATTGTTACTATTATAGTGTGTGTGTGTATATATATATTTTATATAATTTTACATGAAATTTAAGGTACCACTATTTCGAGTCAACTTTAGACATTATAATACTGACTATAAGTAACTTTGCAGCTACATGTCAGCTAACTCTCATTAAAGTATTAATAGACTGTCTGCTTAATATCTGATAGCACTTTATTTTGATGCTCCCCAACAGACATTCTACTGGATATATTTAACTTTGCAAGTATGTCAACTTATGCTTAAAAATCTTTATAAAATCTTTGAAACCTTTATAATATTGTGATAGTACTCTACGGATTATAGAACAATATATGAAACAATAGTGGACTGAGCATCAAAATGTAGCATCTAATGATAAAATGTTTTTATATTTTTAATGTTCTCCCTTTAAAAACTTTGGTCAGTTCAATAATAATTTATGCAAATGTATATTACTTATTTGAAAGAATTAAAAGAGCAGTTTCATGTCTATCCTTGTATTGTTCAACTGGTCGAGTCACTGTTGCACCTCTATGGCTCTGCAAACCTCTTCTCCGGCTCTGGAGTAAGAACACAGTTTGCTGAGTCACCCTACACCAAAAGCATTCCCTCAACGTCACGTCTGGAGATTAGACTGTCCCTTTGTAATGTCACAGACAGTTTTTACTCCATTTATTATAATATCAGAAGAAGAAAACTTTCTGGCTCTCCAGAGGTTCACTAACTTAAACAACAGGTTGTCCTGAAGAAGAAAAAGAAAAAAGCCACCATAATCCAGGGTTCCCGTTTCACCCCACACCCAACAGCCTGAAAAAGTCCTCCTGGAGACTGGAGATAAGAGTGGCCTCCTGACTCAACATGACTCAGCACCAGCAGCTCCTGAGATATGGCTACCTGGAACGGTCAAACTTTTGGATCACTGGGGAAAAAAAACCCTAATTTATAACGCCAATACCACAGCCATGAGGCAATGTACCGGAAACTTCATAATGATAAAACATGGGAATTAAATCACCCTATTTGTTTAAGCCAAAATGGCTTTCTAACTCATTATTTATTGACTATTTCTATAAATATTAATGCAAATATTATATCTCTTTGGATGATTGGTAGCAGTATTGTTAGCACATCCATTCTGAGATTATATATTTGAATAAAGTAATATTGAACAGGTAAGTTTTTACTGAAAAATTAAAAAAAAAAAAATACTATGTGCAAAAAAGTAACTCAATGCACTAAAAGAATAGACTTGGGCCCGGTTTCACAGACAGGGTTTAGATTAAGCCAGGATTAGGCCTCCATTTCAGTTGATTTTTTTATGCGTCTTAGACAAAATCACTGGTGTGCATCTTGAGACAAAACCATAGCACTGACATATTTGAAGATCACTCTAAAAAATGCTGGGTTGTTTTAACCCAATTTTGGGTCAAATATGGACAAACCCAGCCATTGGGTTAAATTTTTAAATTACATTTTTAACCCAATGTTTCAGTTTGTCCATATTTGACTCAAAATTGGGTTAAAACAACCCAGCATTTTTTAGAGTGATATGTCAGTGCAAGTTGCTTTCAGTTAAAACAGCTCAATGCATTTTAGCCTGGGACTATAGCTTAAGCCTTGTCTGTAAAACCAGGCACTGGTCTGGAGAATGCTGCTGTGTCTCTGAACGTGAAGTCCCCTTCAGCCTTTATACGTATCTAAACTGACAGGATGTGCAGCTTTCATATCAAGTAACATCCATTTATAAGTGTTTTCTAAAATTTAATTGAAATACCAGAAGATACAAATCAGTCAAGAGTGATTTGACAGTTTCACACACTTATAGAAGAAATAGAAACATTTAAATGTATAAAGAAATTATTTATTAATAAATAAATAAAAAGGGTTCTGTCGGGTGCTTTTAGGGGTTCTCATCATGGGATCATGTTGTAGATTTAATTTAAATGAATTTATTTTACAGTATTAAATTGTATGAATTAAACAGCTCGTACCTAAAACATTAAACGTGTTATGTAATCACTTAAGACATGTCTCCTTATATTGAACCTTTTGGGATAATTAAGTGAGAATCTATACAGAAACTTTTCTTATAAGAGTTTAGTTTTGAAAAGTAATATTTAGCCTGAATTGGATGCATGTGGATGCAGAGTTTACATTGGAAGTAGTTCTCACCCTTTATCTCCACCCTCTAAATCCCCCATAGAAAATATGAACCATACCCATTGGTTGACGAATGTTGAATGATGAATGAATGTTTTGTTCACACTTTATTTTAGGGTCCAATTCTCACTATTGACTAACTATTAACTACGACTTTTGCCTCAATACATTCCCAATTACTGTTTTTTAATAGTCAGTAAATAGTTGTTAAGTTTAGGTATTGGATTGAGGAACAAGACATTAATATAAGTAATAAACAGCCAATCTAATATGCATGCTAATAAGCAACCAGTTATTAGTGAGAATTGGACCCTAAAGTGTTACCCATTTTAATCCAATTTTTGGCTCTTAACGCAAATATTTAACATGCAGTAATGATAACAAAAGAATAAGCAGCTAGTTCTGGTTCTCAATCTGATTGGTCAAGTGGCATTTGAAGAGTGCTTATTTTTAGTATAACAGTTCTTTTTTATTGTTTGTATCATTCACCTTATCCATTCATCATTTCAGACCAGAGTCTGTGTGGTGCGGAGCAGAAGTTTTCCTGGAATTGGAAAACCATCGACCATGGCCATAAATGTCCTCACCATGGCTTAGATTGGGCCACAGACACAAGCTGCGTTCATATTTAATGCTCGTATTTAGCACTCTTGTTAGTAAGTTGTTTCTTAAATAATTTTTAAAATATTTTAGGGGCCCCTTGTAAATTTGATGAGGCCCTCTAGTGGGCTCCGGCCCTTTCCCTAAAGCAATCAGGCTAATTAATGAAAGGCCAAGCAGCGCACTTTTCCTTCTCTTTTAAATAGACATAATTCACATCTCATTAAAGAAAAGTACACTTCCGACATCACTAAAACAGGTGACACGAGATCAAGAGACCCTGTCCCCTCTGAGAGAGAGAGAAATAAATAAATAAGAAATGATCAGTCCACTGTCCTAACCCGCCTCATCCCATCTCATGCATGGCTGCCAGTGATGGTCTACTGGGTGTCAGCTTTTATTGGCACGATACAAAGCGAAGTGCCAAGGTCCGCTGCCTCGATTCCCCGAGCAGACTCGGCCTCTGGAATAAAAGCTTGCAAAATGTCTCGCACGAGCACAGAGACATAGCAATGCTGGGCTGGAAGGAGGAAGTGCAGTGGAGAGGGGAGGGACCGCGCGCAGAGTTCCAGACTGCTGCCGCGGCGCTGAGAACTTGTGCGCATGGAGCGGCGGGGGACAGCTGGAAGAGCTTCATACTGCAAACTCAAGGAATAGCAGGTAAATAACCCGCACGGGCCTTTCCAAGTGACACATGTCAAAGAGTTGATTAAAATGTACAATTTAAGTCAGGGAAAGAGAGAAGAACAGGCGTAATGGAAGTTTTTGTCCTGAACTCTGTAGCAGGTGCAAGAGCTTCATATCCTCTTGACATGGCGCAAGGCGTGTTCGGCGCGCGCGTAAGCGTAATTACATTACTTTTGCGCGAGGGCTTCTTCATCAGAAGTTTGAACTATAGATGCTATGTTTGACTTTTCTTTCTCTTTTCTGTTCTTTTGTCATCTTTTTCTTCTTCTTCAGTTTTCCATATGGAAAAAGTTTCCCGATGTCCCAAACGTGGAACTGAGTGGGATTTCTGTTATCCAGTAATTTAATTGATAATACAATTCAAATAGGCTATACGAAATATATGACTTAATTGTGTGTGTTATTAATATTTCGTTTAAATACAACTTTAAACGTTACTTTCATTATCTTACGATACGCACCTGTTGCTCACTATGAAAATTCCACACTATTTTTAGCAATATGAAGTTGAGAACACATTTTTGTTTCTGAAATATAAAAAGCTATTTTAATAACATCCCCCTTTTTAATCAATAATATGTCTGAGTAAATTTATGAAATCGAAAGGTTAGTTTTGTCCCTCCAATTAAGAACGTATTATTCAGAAATGTTCTTTTTTAGTTTTCTTCTTTATGTTAGAACATATCATTTTCATTTTTACTCGATTTTCTTCATCAGTTAGTTAAATTCAAAGTGGCTGAAACAGTAAAATGTGATCAGAAAGTGATCACAGCAAGTTTATTTTACTTAATAATCTTTTTTTTTCTTTTTTTTTTTAAAAAACAATTTTTGTGAGCACTTTTTATTAACCTAATATTATTATTTTCAGTGATAGTCAGGCGAAAATGACTTACACGAATTCTTTGGTCATTTCTATCTCCGTTGATGCATGCGTCTCTCGAGTTTCTCTTTCCTACCCTTGTTTGGTTTTGTGTACAATCGTTAGCGCTTCACGGAACGAGTCATATGTGCAGCAAAATAGAAACTCTATTGATCGATTGAGTAAAAATAGACCGCGCGCGAGACAAAAACACACTTCTCACATTATTTCAGAGAATTGATTCATCTAACTTTCTTACTGAGAAACTAATACACGCAAATGTATAGAAAAACAAACTTTATTTTACGAATAATTATTAATTAAAAACAATTATCACATCTGTAATATAGGCCTTCATTTGTAGGCAAGAAAAAAATGAAAACAATAACCGCTTTTTTATATTTCAGTACAGTTTTTAACTTATTGCTGCGATTAAAATAACGTTGGTCTTTTAAAGAAAAGAAAAAAAGAGAATGGTTTTCACATCCGTGCACTTAAAATAACAGTTTCAGAGTGTATGTTTGTAACTTTTGCGCATTTTCAAGAGCATAATGCCTCTATAGACTATTACAGCATTTATTGCACTTTGTTTTAGGCATGTCTTAATGTAAAATCTATTGTACATGTTAATGTGGCAAATTAAAATGTGCGAAGAGAAGAGAGAAATGAAATGATGAAGTGAATAAAAAGAGTGTTCTCAATGGCAGTGAAGTGAAGTGTGGCCAATGCAATTGAGGCTTCTAGAGAGCTTCTTTTATTTCTGTGAAAGCCTCAGAATGCAGTTCCTGCATATCATCTTTGAAAGATAGCAATCACTCTATCTTACGCCCTCAAATGTGATGAAATCCTCACTAATGCAAGGCAGGCAATGGATATCCCATTTGACAAAAGTTAGAGAAACTCCAGTTTATTTCTTTAATCACTACGTAATATGTTCATGTTATCCATACTAACTAATAATTTCTGAAGGCAAGTTTATTTATATGTTTTATTAATGTTAATATATATGCACACACACACACATATAAAAAAAATAAATATATATATATATATATATATTATATATACCTAAGATAAAACTAATATTTGTATTAAGAAAAGCATGATTTTAGGAATGTTTTTAACGATGTTTGAAACAGGAGAAGAAAAAAAGGAACATGGTGAAGATTGCTCATGGAAAATGAATATTAAATTAATGTCACCTGTGTGATCCAGAAAGTATTAAACATTCTTCAGGTGTCCACAAGGAATATGATTAGATTTGTCTCATGTTAGAATATTAATTTGAACTGACCACAATTAAATGATTAATGAATAATAGATTACATTAAGCTTATTATTATTTTTTTTAAAGCAGAAAGCAGCAAAAGACTATTTTTATTCAAAATATTTATTTGAACGAGGCATCGGTGTTGTCACAAATTCTGCTATATAGAATGGGGAAATAAAACTATTTCTGCTATGACTTAATTCTGTATTGCTCCCACTGAAATCAGGAAAAATTCCCAGAAATATTTTGCATCCTTTTATAATATTGCTATTTTTTGCAAAGGTAAAAATTCCAGCATTTACCCTCTGCAACTCTTCTTGACTCATTACATTAAGATGTCCTTTATGTAATCATCCCTGAGTGAAATGATGAAACTGCAGTTGTTGCAAGTTAAGTCATACCCACATTTGAATGTCTCTAAGCGCTTCATTGGCATTTCGTCTGTTTAACGGTTTTGCAGTGCCAAGTCTCCACCCATCTCTTCATCTTTTTTTCACACATAGATCTGTTTTCCTACACTTTACACTCCCTTTCTTTTAACACACACACGCACAAAAACACGCTAATGGTGTTTTAAAACCCACAGAGCTCTTCCTGTCGCTATGATGATATGCTTGACTATGCTAATCTCCTGTCTTGATTGTGACCAGTGTCCTACACACACATTGAGATTTGACAACACAAGTTAAAAAAAAAGAGGTAGCTGAATGTGTGAGTTAAGATACTAACAATTTCATGTTTACTACCTGTATTTATATAAAGTCATCAGTAGAGTGCAGGGAACTGATATCATAATTAGTCCAGAGTGGCTTAAGTTAAGTGGGAGAATAAAGCAAGCTTTTACCTCTGGTATAAACAACCATGCATGAAGCTCATCAGTGAGGAATATTTTTACTTTTCTTCCTCCTCTTTGTCTACACCATCACTATTTCCCCTCTCACATCTGCTCAGAAAAGGGGGCGCAGGGGAATACCATACCGCCACCCACCCCATGAACTCTACTCCTCCACTCCATGTGTCTCAGTTATGAAAAAAACAGTGCATCAACATTCAAAATGATAGATGGTTAGTTTGTGGTATGAGGAACGCATCACAATGCATTTGTATTGCACCTAACCCAAACCCAAACCCAAACCCGAACTGATAAACCTCAATCAACATCTTTTAAAAAGTTGCAAATTAAACCACTATGTGCTTATAATATTAAACCACTATGTGCTTATAAAAAAGAAACAATAATAATAATAATTGCAATACACTTTTGCTACTATTGAGGTGTGTAATGTAGGTAAGGTTAAGGGTAAAGTCAACAGTGTGGTTAGATGTAATTACAAAAATTAATACACATTGACAATTACATGCATGTATAAAAACGGGTGTAAGTGCACTCTATCAAATTAGGCTATACATTTAAATTACTCTACATAATATTAACCACTTAGATTTTTTTAATAAAATATTCAGTGTGATATATTTCCTGCAGTTGTGAATGTACAATATCCCAAAAGTTTCCAAAGATTTTTTATTTCAGAGAAATTCCAATTTTCAATAAGTGACCGTCCAGGAAAAAAAAAATTTCGCCTGTCAATGGTGCAATATCCGCGCTATCCTCGGTTTCCGTTCATACTGCCATGACGTAACCATGGCAACAGACATGGACAGCAGCGTAGTGCGTAACGTTTAGCTGCGCGCTGTTGTTGTTCCGTTCAAACATTATTGACCATGGCAAGCAGACTTTGGGACAAAAAAAGGAGAAATAAAATGAGGATCAATATCACCGTGCCGTTTTCGAGATGGCGAAAGCTCCACGTCCGCGACTAACTTGGAGCAACACCGTTCTTGCATAGGCTATACTTTATTAGACAGGTGAGCAAATGCACATAAAACAAAAGGATGAATCTGTGTTTCCTTGCAACTGTCAATAATATCACTTATAAACAATGCGAGATACACAGGCCTATATGCCGTGACAGATCAATCATTATGCATATGTTAATTCACCTCAAACTTTTGAGTGATCGTTATGCTGATGAAAATTCAGTTACATTGCTCTTTGTACTTTCGCAATGCTTTTTATCACTTGTGTTTTTACCAAGATTATGGCAGTGCAATTAAATACAATCGGATATGAGGTGTTAAACAATATTTAGCCATACTTACAAATGTTTGTTCAAATTTACTTACAAACTAATAAACACGTAAAACTGCACAGCATTAACCCAACAAATCATTTTACAAATACCTGTAACAGGATCTATAACATTTCACGTTCTTTGCAGTTAATTCATTATGGTGACAAAATATTGCGATCAGAAGTAACGTTAGGTTACAGGTAATACAAAAACAAATAAATGACCTCATCTGTGATCATAATTCATTTATTCCATAACATCTCTGGACGTTGAAAATGATATCTCCCATCGCTCAACTCTCGCTCGTCATCAAGCTTCGCCTTTGTTATTGTTGCTAACTGCGCCCTCTTGTGGTGAAAAATTCCTACATATTGTACCTTTAATATAAATGGGGCCAATAATTTTCAAAAATCCCCCCAAAAAATACATGCAAAGAAAAAATTCTCAGTAGGACACTTTGAATAAAAAAAACATTTCCTCAGAATGAAACTGGATTTAAATATTCACCCATGAGTCAAACTGGATGGCAACTTTTACCAACATAAATACACCATTTCTCAGATTTTCAGTTATTATTGAGGGTGTATTCACACTTGGCATTGGTTCGATTAAAACGAACCCTGATGTGATTGCTCTAGTGCTGTTCATTTGAGTAAGTGTGAACGCTGCCACCCGAACCCTAGTGGTGGTGCGTACCAAACAAGTGGACCGAGACCGCTGAAAAGAGTCTTGGTCCACTTCCAAACCAACTCAACACAGACCAAAAATATGTAAAGAACTAAAAAAGGATATGATATCATGCAAACCTAAAAAGGACAAAATGTTCACGCATAGGCTACCTGTTTTTCCTCATCACGATGTTGCCCATCACTGTTCGGTAACTTACAGGCGTCAGAACCGCGTCTCCTTGCAGCAGGTCATCGTATGCGTGTGTGACGGAGGGATTCTGGCGCTGACTCCTTTACACATTTTATAAGTTCTTCACAAGTTCTCAGCTGGTCAAAATACCATCTATTCGCAAATACAACGATGGCGTTCAGTCCAGCACACCACATTGTTTTGGATGTTCGGTAAGTTCCGTCGCGAAATATACGCCATAAAGGACGACCAATCAGGTTGTGAACATATCCCTATGCCTTTAGCTTCGATATCTTTAGGTTCGGTGTTAAAATGCCAGAGTGAACGCTAAGCGGACCAGGACTAAAAGTTTTATATATATATATATATATATATATATTTTTTTTTTTTTTTTTTTTTTTTTTTTTTGGTCAGAACCAAATGAACCGACTACAAGTGTGAACACACCCTGAGTGTTGCTGGGCCGTCGAAACAGGTTCTCATCAAGTTTTTGCCTGCATTTACCCAACCCATGATGCTTTTGATGGCAACATGTGCCTCCTAGTAAAAATCAAAGCCAGACCACTGGCAAGAAACTGGCAAAGAAGCCAAATGCCTTCCTTCTATCCAGATCTGGCTGCTATCTCAGAGTGGCCAATTCTGTGAAGTGTTGAAAAAGATTGTTGATGTCCCATTTAGACAGTCAAAGAGGTCTGTGAAGATCCATGAGCAGCTCCTTAGTCTTCATAAAAGCTGATCTGATCTGCGTTTTGCGTGTAAAATGTCAGTAATATGACTTACTAGTAATATTGTGCAATCAAAAATTATATATATAGGCCTATATATTATATATTTTTAAATATGCATTAAATTGTATTTTACAATACAACCAGAATGAGAATCAAATCAATGCAGAGTGATTAAATTAATTTTACCTAGCTAGTTGTCTTGCTAATTACCTCACTAGGCTAATATTACAGAATATATTCAGATGCACAGAAACCGTATTTGAGAATACAGTATAATGTCATCTTTTAAGGTTTTTAGTCTTTTTAATGTATATACACACACATCCTGCTAATATGGATTTGGATATAAAGATTTCAAATAAAGAAAGCCTTCACAGAAAACACATTTCTCCTCAGCTAAATCAAATTGAATTGCGATTAGCATGCCATGTCCACCTGCAATCCTTTACGCCCCGCTGGCCTTTAACATTCTCAATTTCACACGCACAATGACACCCAGGCACTGGCCTATATGCATCAGGCGAAACAAGCCCTCACCAGGGTTTTGGGCGTGAGTCTTTCGAGAAGTGCAATCCCGACATCGCGACAGACGGTAGGCCGCTGTTTTTCCCACTTTGTTCCAAGTGCGTGGAGCCATCTGTCAGTAAAAACAGGAAGGCCTACGTCCCCCTTCTCCCAGGAGCTCTCTTCAGCTTGCTTGGCTATTTTCAGGAACTTCACTGCTCCCTGTGTGGTTGGCGGGGCCGGGCGCGGGGCCCTAGCGGGAGCGTCTTGAAGTGGCAGTGAGGCCGAGGCTGTTGTGCCCATCTGCTGTGGGCCCAAGTGGCCGCTACATTATTAATGGGGCCACGGGCGCTGGTGACTTCTCAGATATGCAGGCCTGGCCTGAGGAAGTGCTCACCACCAACTCCTTCTGAGGAGAAGAAAAAAAAAAAACACTCTCCTTTTGCTCCCCACCCCTCATTTTCTTCTCGTCCTATTCTCTCAGTGAGTTATTTCCGCCTAACCTATCCCTTGTTTCTTTATCTGTTCAATTCTTGTCTCCAATGAACCTGCTTTTTTAATTCGGTCTTCCTTCTGTCACCTTACTCATTGCACATCTCGTCTGCGTTGTATGTGTGTGTGTGTTAGAGATGCAGAAAGAGTTGGGGCTGCCGGGCTTACCCATGCATGCTCAGTAAATTAGTGTGAACACGGGCGCCAATCAGCTGGCGATGCCAAACACCCGCATCCTCCATGACCCCGGGCCATCTAATTTTCTGCTTAATTTTGCGGCAGTCAGTTTGCATTTTTGGATGATTATGTGGTAGGAAATTAACAATAAATAACAAATGTGGTCTGAAAGCCTGTTCGTTTCGAGGCTCCCCACCCTATCCTCGGCCTTGTAGTCCACCAAACATATTCTCTTAGTTCACCCCGTCCGTCAGAGCGGTAATGAAAATGTCTGTAGTTCTTTGTAATGTAATGTGGAAGACAGTGGTGTGTGCGGCTGGAACGGGGCTGTTCTTGCCAGGGTGATGGAGATACACAAAGAAAGGCCATTCTCCTTTAATCACCAACCACTTCTCTTATACAGGGTTATTTTTGAGGCAGCAAACACTGATGATACACTTTCTCTCTTACTTTTGCTCCTGTTAGAATACCTGCACAGGATGGAGACTGAGGAGGCACAGGAAATGTCCCAGATAACAGGTAAGAGCTGCCTCTCAAATGCTCAAAGCCACAGTAAGGTCTGGACGATCAAAACAATCGAGCAAAGATAACCGTATTTTGACTGTTCAACAATCAGTCACATCAGATATGTGTTAAAGCTTCAGCTCACAAAAACGTCTGACTAACTCAAATGATCTCTCTGAACTCTTACCAGTTTAAACGCACAAAATAAAAGCGTTAGCTCACCTCAAAATTTAAATTCTGTCATCACACTCACTCTTGTGTCATTCCAAACATATGACTTTATGAGTTCTGTGGAACAAAAAGATGGAAAATGTCCTTTTTTTGTCCGTACAATGAAAGTCAATGTGGTCCAAAACTTGGAATGGACAAAAATATCTTCATTCTGCAGGTTTGGAATGATGTGAACGATATCCAACACTCATCTGAAAGCTCTGTGTTCCAGCAAATACCGAACCAAGTATATCCAAATGACCCTATTACTGATATACATCTATACTGACAGGGTTAATGCAAACACTTTTCCAAGAAAACAGATAAATGGAAAAAGGGAACACTCTCTGAATGCAGTAACCCGGTCAGCATTTGTGCTCTGTCGACATTTTCATATCTAAATAAAGTTACGAAACTTACACAAGACTCATTATAGTGAGCTCCAAATTTGCTGCATTAGTGAGAACATATTTTCACAAGTTTGTTTGCGCATATAATTTTGAAGCTATTGAGGTTTGGCTTGCTGTCTGCAGTGGAGGGGCTCGAGGAAGCAGCTTCAACTCGAGCTTAGATATACCCCCCTCCAGGACTACTAAATTATGTTGGTGGAGTTGGGCAGGCGGAGGGAAGCCGAAACGGCTGATGCCGGAGCAAGGTGAGCTGCTGCTTATGTGCTCCAGCAATTGAAACATTAGATGGGTTCACTTCTCCCGAAATTACATTTAGGAACTTCACTAATGCTTCTGATTGTCAACGATGGGGTACAATACAACCTTGAGCAACTTTGAGCAACCACCTTTTTCTTTAAGGGGAAGTGTTTTAATTCTATCTACACTAGTGTCGCCAAACGGATATCCAAAAATAATAGTTGTGTTCAACTTCGGCTGGATTTAATGGATCAGAGAGGTTTACTACTTGTTCCTGAAGTGATGATCGTAGATTTTACATATATTGGAAGTAGATTAGCTGAAATATTTGTCAAATACACGGATATTTCAGATGTTTTCGTGTTGCATCAAAAACTGTAGGTGGAAATTCGGTGAATCCGGCCAATCGTGAAACAGCTGTTTCATCATTAGAAGCTATGCAGAATGAGACAGCCTGCTTTCAACTGTACTTTTAAGCATATGTCAAAGTAACGTGGAATCAGCATCTCTAGTTGGACAAAATTCCCAACGTGCACTGTTTTAAGTCAGACACCGCCTCATGAAGTTGAACACACCTAATGACTGTTTTTCAAAAAGGTTTCCTGAACACTCAAAACAACTGTCATTTGTCAGACAAACAGGTTAGCCCTTTTCCCTAACACCAATGCCACTGGTGGGATTGGTGTTAGGGAAAAGGGGAGACTGTCCCTAACACTGATGGGGAATCAGCCTACAAATGGCTTGCTTATCCCTTATCAACCCAAAAAATGACATGCATCAATTCATCTCCACTAAGATAAAGTAAGCAAAACGGATGGGCATGAGTTTATATTTGTAACTTCTCTACTCTCTGCTCAGGAAGGGACAGCCCGACTGCTATCGAGGGGGGAGAGGACCAAGATGAGGCCATGCCTGTTCCTGAGGACTTGTCAGCCAGCACTGGCCTCCAACACAACAACCGCACAGACAAACCACTGGGTGAGTCAGACCAGCCTAAGCTGGGACACAACCACAAAACTACCTCATTTACCATGCAATGCTCAGTCTGATATAGCTCCCACTGCAGCCACTTTTAAGGTCAAACCAACAGAAAATTGTAAAAGGCAGCATGAAGCGAATCGTTCACGTCTTCCTGCAAGATCACAAAGCGAGTGCACTAGATTGTTCGAGGGTACGCAGGGTCCGAAGCTTTCAAATTAGCTCATGATGCGCGTCTTCAGCTTTTGTAATGAGATCCTGCCCCTTTCTTTCTTTTTTGCCACACATAGAAAAGAAAAAAATAAACATCAACTTGAAAAGGAAAATCTGTGTGAACTTTAAGTAACAAATTAATTATTTTCCTCATGTCAGACGAATAGTTACTGGTTCCTGAAACCGTGGGACATTTAAACATCAGATTGCTAATTTAATACACTGAAACAGTTTACTCACTGACTGAGCCTACACATAACATGCTCAGTTGTGCCATGAACTCTTAAACCCACACTTATTAGGAAATTTCTCTCTACTGTTTTTACACTTCTGTTCTTCCTTTTGTACTTCTCTGGTTTATTTAAAAAAAAGCATCTGATAAAATGACTGAATGATTAAATGTAAGTTCAAATTTGATTGAAAAACTATTTAAAACAATTCGTTTTCTAAGGACAAAAACTAAAAGGTAAGTTTGGGGTCAGTAAGATTTTTAGATGTTTTAAAAAAAGTCTCTAATGTTTATGAAGGCAGCATTTTTTGTAAACAGCAGTTTTGTGAAATATTATTACAAAGTATAATAGTTATCTCTTTTAATATATTTTAATATATAATATGTTCTTGTAATGGCAAAGTTTAATTTCAGTTTCACTTGATCCTTCAGAAATCATTCAAATATGCTGATTTGGTGCTGAACATTTTTTTCATGGTTGGAAAAAGTTGTGCTGTGGAATGTTTCGTGGAAACTATGACACATTTCTTCATGAATAGAACAGCTTTATTTGACAGAAATCTTTTGTAAAATTTCAAAAGTTGTTTGTCATTTGTTTGTCATTATTCTGTCTTTGCTGAATAAAAATATCAACAATGGTAACAATGAAAATGTCATGTTTGAAGGATAGGTGGTCATAGGAAGTGTAAGTTAGTCATTATATCAATAAATATAGTGTTATAGCGGTGTAAACAGAAAGTGGGTTAACTGACGAAAATGGGTGGGAATGAATTTGGCTAACCAGAAGTTAACAGATGGCCTGTTTAATATCTTGATGTATTTTAGTTTGGAATTTTCCCCTCCAAAAGTTCCAGATTAACTTGGACTTAATGTGTGACATGTTCACTTTGAAGCTACTGAAAGTGAAAAACAGAGTGAGAGAGAGAGAGAGAGAGAGAGAAAGAAAAAAAGATGCGAGAGGAAACTGAAATAGGATGTGCAAGAGTTTCCTAAGAAGAACTTGCCAGAACTCAGTTTCAACACTCACTCAGGGAGATAAAATGTTCAGGAGCAACACCAGATATATAGGCGCAGTATCACAAAAAAAAAAAAAAAAATGTGAGTGTACGCTCTCTTACACACAACTCTGCACCTGCACTTTTGCCATGCTTTCACTTCAACTGCCATGATATTCACACACTTCCACACACCCACCCGCATTCAAGTCCAAAAAGCGATGCTTTACTCTCAGCAAAATAGCACTTGCACATCTCCCTCATGCGTTACATATAAAAAAGCACAGTCAAAGACATATCTATAAAGTAATAAGAGACAATAGACGCTGACGGAGGCTGAAGCATGTTCTTAACCTTTAGTCATCTGTTTGAATAGTTGGGATGACATTATGAACACTAATAAGAGTATTAAATGACATTTAACTTTACAAGATCATAAAATCCCACTCGCTTTTCATACACAATTCTCAACTTTATCTAGAAATTCTCTTATTGAGATGTGAGTGTATTTAATGAATGCAAAGGAAGAATAAAACGCATGGATTGTTTGAGAGAAACAGGGAACTAAACTTCAAACGCTCTGAACTCTTGCATCAGCAAAGGTTTGCGTAAATGTATGTGTGCATGTGCGTGCATCTGTCTGTCTGCATGTTGTCCCTGGAGATATAATCAGCCAGTGAGTGAGATGATGTGAAGACAGTATCTTCCCTGTGCATCATTGCTGTTCTGATTATATGTGCAGACTGTGCAGTGTACGCTGCTCAATCAGATGAGTGACTACACGCCTAATATCAGGAAATCTAAACATATAGAGATGATTCACAAGGAGCGCTGTGTCTTTGCTTTCTATCACACTGAAAGACCTACAAACTCCTCAACAGTTATGAGAACATACTGAAATTTAAAGTGTGTAAGCAGCAAAAAGAGCCACACAACATTTTCCTCTACAAACGGAATGTTTAGTTCACAGGAATATGAGAGAAGTCTCCCTTGAAAAAAAGGAGTGTGCTTAATTGTGCTGAGTGTGCACTTGTGTACTTCAAATTGTAAAGTACTTTTTAAAATGGGTTACATTTTATTTTGATGATCCACTTTAGATATTCTACTAACTATAAGTAACTTTGCCACCACATGTCAGCTAACTCTCATGAGAGTATGAGTATCCTGTTAGGTGTTCAGGACAGGGAAGTAGACTAAGTTGACATGTAATGACATATTGTTAGTAGAAGTGGTCCGTCGAAATAAAGTGTTACCTTTAGCTTTGATAAAATAAAAGACCACTTGAGTATACTTAAAGAGAGTACTCTTTTATGATTATGTTTACACATTTAAATACACGTTTAAAAAGTGTACTTTGTAATTTTGTCAAAGGTTTACTTTAAGGTGCATTTTAAATCATTATGTTTAAATAATGTTTAGATGTGTTGACTAACATACTAAGCACATTTAAAGTTAATATATTTCAAATGTACTAAATTGCAACTTCACTATTACAAGTGTAAATGTGTGCAAATATATTTAAATACCATTACCAAACCATTTTCAATTGAAATTATATGAAAGTATATTTTAATGATTGCTTGTCGGTACGTTCGGCAGTACAACTTAACCATAATTTAAAATGCAATAAAAATACTTACAAGATTACATAAAAGGATGTACTTAATTAAGGGGGTCAAAAAACACTTTAAAGTTTAGCTAATTGCATTTGATATAAATTTAAATTATATTGTATTTTATTTAATCATTCATCAAAGTTTCTGAAAACATTACATTCAGTTTTCCCATTCAGTTTTATATACATATATTCATAAGTATAAGTTCTGTAATTAAATGTATGCTAAAGTGTATTTCTTTCTTTCTTTCTTTTTTTGCAAGGGGAATTGCTGTTCACAACCTATTTACCCCTGTAATCCAAGTGGAACGAGATATTCAATGAGACAAATGGGCAGGAATTTGTTCTGTCAAGTGTAATTTGCTAAAACAATGTATAGCTATTTAACTTTTAGTTAACTTTCTCAAATCAGCAGAAAAGGAAGTTGTTTTATACTAAACATTTTTCTGGATTAAAGGTGCGGTAAGCGATTTCTGAGAAACACTGTTAACCTAAACAAACACACTCCTCACTTCATTGCTCCACCCCTAAATTGCACGAACACGCAATGTCTCTTTATCATAGCTGCAGCAAAGAAAAATCGCTTCGCTTTCGATTCGCAAAAAATTAAGTGAACATGACCAACGAACGACAAGGAAGAACCAAAAAGAACGTACAATAGGCCTACACAAGAGGTTATAAAAGCAAGAATTGGTTGTTAGTCGCCAGCAGCACAGCAGTTCCACACAATAGCACTCAAAACTCTCCTGTACAGCTAACATTGCAACAACAGCATATCTTGGTTCTGTGTAACAACAAAACCAATGTTATAAGTAAGGAGCAGAAACAACGCAACCCCGGCGTCCATTTCATGCCTTCCCGCTGAGATCTCTCCAGCGCTGGAAAGCTTCTCTAACATTAACACGGGTCCTGATCATAACCCTTCTTTTTCCAGTGATATTACTCTGACCTTTTCTCTTTTGTAGTCTCTCAGCCATCTTTCGTTCAGTCTTTCCACTTGCTCACTCTCTCTCCTCCCCCATCATGAGTGGACACGCCCCCTACTGCTGATTGGCTGAGTGAGTTGTGGTGCTCAGTCCGATCCACTTTCAACAGCGTTTCTTCGAAATCTGAGTAAAAAAAAATGTAAAAAAAATTCATTCCATTAAATCATTTGCACCAATAAATAATTAACAAGACCCAGAACAATCATTAAGAAAAAACAATCCATTTTGATTTCATGTTGACTTTAAGTTATGTCTTTTTGATTGCATTATTTGCTGTTTGGCTTGACCGTTAAGTATTTATTAGCACTGCATGGCAAAATTGTTGTTAAGGTTTTCATGGTGTGGGGCCGATTTTATCATGTAATTCCTCTTTTTAAATGTATGAAGGCGATGGCCTGGCCTTAAACCTGCTACCATATCAGAGGCAAACATTTCATTAGCAAGTTCCTAAAAATGTAAGCGAAAGCAGGTTTTTTTTAATCATGTCTCACACACATGCATAGACATGCATGCACATCTATACTCTCGCCCACCCATATGTGGTTAACGTGCATGTAGCTCTGCTGCACCGCATAAGATACATGTTTATTTTCAGCGCCTCGACTGGAGCAAAAATTAATTGTACTAACCCATGCAGCGTTACATTCATTTATAGTGCCCTAGTTTAATACCTCCCTTTGCTAATGTTGTGATAATTTTGTAATCGAAGTGGTAGAGGCTCACAAGTTCAAACCCCAAAAAGGACACTCCCCTATCACTAACATGATCCTCAAGGCAATGAACCTTAGACCACTGCCCCGAGACTGAGTTTCTCTGGAAATCGAATTGAATCCCATTTAAAATTAGCCATTGATGTTTGCCTGTTATGTCGTTCTGTTCTATGTAGAGCTCTTTTGTTTGTCCTTGTCTGTGGCTTTTGACACTTGCTTCCCAAAATGGGTAAATTAGGATGTGTGACAAACGTTATACAAAGTAAAAGCTCCTCTTCCCATCCCCAGTTTAGTCATAACTTCCCCAAAAAGATCCATGAGAGACTGTATCATGACAACAGGCCTAGTTCCCTCTGCCAAACTCAGGTCACATCACACGGTTATATCATCATATCATATAAGCAGAGAGGCTGTCAGTGGATCTGCATGTGTGAGAGGAAGAAATACATCCTTTTATGGGTGCTAATGGGAGATTGCTTTTCCTGTATTGACTTTATGTTATTAACTGCTGTAATTCATTCACACATTGACACTGAAATCCATATAAACCATCCTTAAAGTAAACATAAAATGCGGTTCACAACCTTCTTAATAGGACATACTTTATTAGAGTAAAACAGAATATTCAGAAGGAAAAAATGGATTGGATCATGAAAATATGAATGCAGCTATAATGAATTAAATCATTAGTTAACTGCATTAGTTAATATGAACTAATAATGAATAGCACATATACAGCATTTGTTAATCTTTGTTAATGTTATTTTCAACATTTATTAATACTTGATTAAAATCTTGTTAACATTAGTTAATGCACCGTGAACTAACATGAACAAACAATGAACAGCTGTATTTTCATGAACTAACATTAACAAAGATGAACAAATGCAGTAACAAATGTATTGCTCATGGTTAGTGCATGTTAGTAAATACATTAACTAATTTTAACTAATGAACCTTATTGTAAAGTGTTACCACTAATGTTAACTAATGAACCTTATTGTAAAGTGTTACCAATTAAATAGTATGAGGGATTGAGTTTTGATCAAAGTTTAGGAAGACAAACATGTTTTATGTGAAGTATGTCCACCAATGAATAAACGGGAATGTGCAATAAAGATGAAAAGGTAACGCTTCCTGTTGCAGTCCTGTTACCCATATGTACTTATTTTAGTTATTATAATTATGGGTCATAACTAACTACTGTACTAACCCTGAACCTACCCCTAACCCATGTACTTACCTTATATTAGCCAGTACTAGGTAAGTACACGTGAGTACTGTCCTGTAAAAGGAAGCGTTACTAATGAAAATAGTTTGCTTGACTTATATCATTATGTGAAGTTATTCATTCAGGACCTTCTCTGAAATTAAAGATGCATGATGATGCAGTTCTTTTGTTTAAATAAAAGTTACCCATCCTATTTCCACCTACAATATATTGATTAGTTTGGGATTCTTGACGATTATACTGGAAAGTGAATCACTTGCTGTAAGACTCAAGGCAATTATTTGGGAGTTATTTATTTTCAGGGTCTTTTGTGATCCGATAGAGAGTAACCTAAACACAGGCGTGTGTGTTCTGTGTGTCGGTACTCTCCAGTTCAATCACGTGCTTCAGTTGCTGATCCCTGTAGTCTGAACACACACACAAAAAAAGAAAAACTGTTTCACTTGTTGTGCTTAACAATTCCCTGTCTGTGCTTCCCTTTCTGTCACTTCTCCATAACTCTTGTCCTTTTTTTCGGTTGGGCCGGCTCGGGTGCTGAAGCTTCCCCTTTTCCCTCGGATTCCCATATTTCATTATTTCTGCTTGTTCCTCTTGAGTCTGTACAAACACAGGCTGAGGCATGGGGAAATCAGCCTGGCACCACAGCATGTTAACCACAGGGCATTTACTCTGAACTCAAACTGCCTGAAAACCCTCAAAACGTTTACTTTATTAGGCCGAACGGGCATCTGAACAATCGTCTAGTTTAGGATTGGGTATTCCGTAGAATATTCTGAATATTTAACGAGCAGTTTTATCCTTATTTGATTGAGTGCTCTTCTTTTGCATGCTTCTGTAAGCTTGTATGTGTGTATGTGTTTACCACGGTTTGCTGGTCTGGTTTACACCGCTGAGAGTCCTCAGTTTCACAGTGCTTCCTGTGTCTCTGTTTCCTGTTTATCAGTCATTTGTTTCAAAGAAGTGTGATGGTGAATGAGATGGTGAGATGGTTTTTGAGCAGGCAGCCTGATAGAAGAACCCTCGTTTATTCATTAAGAGGAATATTATTCACTCAAATACTAGTTTTTTTCTTTTTCTTTAGGATTTAAGGAAGTTTCAACATTATGTAAACATATATCTAATGTACATACATATTTATCAGGTTATTTGTGAAATACTTTATCATCAGTTTCAAATGTTGGGGAAGATACTTTGAAATTGCAAAAGATTCAAGCTAGGACTAAAGCTATTGTTTGGTTACAAGCTACTGACAATAGAGTTCAAAAGTTTGGGGTCAGTAAGAAAAAAAAATTACAGATTAAACTGATCTAAACTGAGAGTAAAGACATTTGTAATGTTACAAAATATTTATATTTCAAATAAATATGTTCTTTTGAACTTTATGTTTATCAAAGATCAGGATTTTCGCAAATATATTACCGTTTTCAACATATTACAATGATTTCTGAAGGATCATGTGACACTGGAGACTGGAGTAATGATGCTGAAAATTCAGCTTTATTATCACATATTAAATTTTCAAATATATTCAAATAGAAAACAGCTATTTTAAATTGTAAAAAATATTTTCATTGTATTAACTCACTTTTTCCAGTTCAATCAACTTACCAACCTTGTTACCAACCAAAGCAACCAGATTACTTAATTTTTTAAGGTAAACCAACAATATATTTTTTTACAGTCAGTGTAATGATATTTCAGAATATAGCTGATACTGTATTTTTGAGCATATAAATCAGTCTTGATGAGCAGAAGACAATTTTTTTTTAATTTTACAGATCCCAAACATTTAATAAACATTATTGTACATTAAAGTTATTTAAAGAGGACAGTACCTGTTAACATTTTTTTTTTAAAGTAATCACTGACTCGGTAAAGAAACATCAATCATTAGAACAATGAACAACTGAATCAGACTTCATAAAGCTTCGCATGAAAGAAAAAAAACACATTTGCAAAAGCGTGTTGGATTATTGTGTTTGCTCAACTACAAAGCTCCGTGTGCTTTTCTTTTAAGCAGCAAAGAAGCTGCTGAAGTCGCTACTTTTAGTTAGTTACCTCCTAATTCTGGTAATAAGAAAATATTCAATAAATGCAGTTAATGTTCTCTAATGTCAAGTGGATATTTCATAAATGTGTTTAATGCAATAAAAGTTGATGTTTTTGCACACACACACACACACACAAAAGCTGATAATCAGAAAATAGATAAGAAACGAGTTGCTTATTAAGTGCAGGTGCACTTTTTGTTGTAGAACTTGGTAAAAGATGGCGGTGTTAGTTACCGAGTCAGGGAAAATAACCACCCAGCCTGCCACTGTACTTAACAGGCCCACTACCCTCTTTTCCAGCCTGTAATATAAAAGTTGAGGCTCGGAGTGACGAGGAAAACGGGCTGACCTGTGAGATGAATGGAGAGGCGGAGGAATGTGCAGCCGAGGACTTGCGCGTGCTCGATGGCTCGGGGGCCAAACTGAACGGCTCCCACGCAGGCCCCGACAGCAAGCCGGCCGCCTACCCCACGGCCGGGGGCATCCGCCTCCCCAACGGGAAGCTGAAGTGCGATATCTGTGGGATAGTTTGCATTGGGCCCAATGTGTTGATGGTGCACAAGCGAAGTCACACTGGTAAGCACAACTGCCATCTACTCTTCCCTCCTTATACTATCACTCACAGCTGACAGGGTGCAGGGCTGGGTAGGTTGAGGGCAGGATAGAGGCAGACGCTGGATGTGTTTTAAATGGAACCATCCTTTTGTTTATCAGAAGCCAGAGCAAAGCAATCTAGCCGTGTTTTAGATTTGTACGGCTTGACTTGAATGGATGCAAGTTGATGTAAATGACTAATAAAGAAGGAATATAATTCAATATGATGTTTGTGATGTGAATAATAGGACAGCATTTTTTGGCTAATGTCTGCATTAAAGGGATAGAAAATTCTGTCATCATTTACTCACCCTTATGTTGTTCCAAACCTGTATGACTTTCTTTCGGACCCACTTTATATTAAGTGTCTTTTACTATGTATGCTTATAATTCATCATTACATTGGACTTATTTAGTGCTGTCAAATCGATGAATCGTGATTAATCGCATCTTACATAAAAGTTTTTGTTTATATAATACGCATATATATATAGGGCTGTCAAACGATTAATCGCGATTAATCGCATCCAAAATAAAAGTTTGTGTTTACATAATATATGTGGGTCACTGTGTATAATTATTTTATATATATAAATACACACAACACGTGCTTGTATGTATTTAAGAAATATTTTCATATATATAGATTTATTTATAATTTATATTATATATAAATATTTTACACAAAAAATATACATGCATGTGTATGTATTTATATATATAAAAAATAATTATACAGAGTGCACCCACATATTATGTAAACACAAACTTTTATTTTGGATGCGATTAATCATTTGATAGCCCTAAATATATATATCCATTACAAACTCATTTATTATAAAAAACAAAAACTTTTATGTTAAATGTATGTCGAGTTGATAGTAATTTTTTTTGCCCATTAGGTTTACACTTAATTACATCTGTAATTCATTTACGCAGTTAGATTTATAATTACCATTAACCCGCTATTAAACGTAACCTAAATTTAAACAACATCAACTGCAGAGTGTTGTGCAATCCAACACAATTACATAGTCCACAAATGCATAGTAGACAACTGATATAAAGTGGTCCTTTCTTTCTTCTGCGGGACACCAGTTTTGGTTGCCATTGACTTCCATTGTATGGAAAAAATAAAATGAGACATTTCTCAAAATATCTTCTTTTATGTTCTGCAGAAGAAAGAAAGTCAGATTTGGAACGACATAAAGGTGAGTAAATGATGACAGAATTTTCATTTTTTTGGCTTAACTTTCCTTTTAAAGACTCACCTGTAACCCAATTAATATGATGATGATCAATGATGAGATGTCTGTATGTTTTCATAACAAAAATGTGACGTTTTCTTTTATGACAATCCAAGAACTAACCAAGAAGAAGCCTCTCTCAAATGACAATTATTTCAGCATTAGTTCTTTTCTCCCTTTCTTAAATTGATATTCCACCGCAATGAAGCCAAACCAGTGGGTGAGAACATTTTTCAAAAAGGCACTTAACTTCCTCACTGACAAACTAATGAAACTCAAAATGGAAGAAAGGAACAGTTGGCTAATGTAAATTCAGAAAAGAACGTATAATAAAAGATATAATGAAGTGCTTCCTATTTAAATCAAAATATTCGCAGGAGGCACCGAGCTCCTGAAATGCCTTTTTAATGAGTTTCTTTTTCCGTCTTTTTGCTGCTTCACTGGTGACTCTTATTTTATAGGGCTTTTGAAGAGAGCGCAGTATTAATAGCGTTCTCGGAGAATGCCACAACATTCGGAGGAGCTGGATATTGGTTTATTCCAGGGGCGCTGATCAGGAAGACTGGCTCTCAAACACAAAGTGTTTCCTTCACTTTATTTAAATGAGCTCTGCATTTGCATTGTGATGGGCCGCTCTTATTTTAGAGCTGAAGAAGAGGAAAAAATGAGATTTTCAGATCAAATTGACCCAGGCAGTGGAGCATTGCGAAACTGGCAGGCGGCGTCTGAAAGCCTCTTGTTCGATCAGGGCGCGAGCCAGGCAGCGCGCGCGGAGCGGAGAGCGGCGCTCACGTGCGAGATTCCGCTGGCGTGTTTGATTGAGCTTTGGCGCGAGGCGTTGCGTTGTTGAAGATGTAACAGCGCGCCGGAGCCGTGTAGGACAGTGACCCCGCATTCACTGAATAATAGTGCTACAGCTGCGGGGCTTTGCTTTCAGAGGGACGATATAGCATCACAGACACTCGCCATTTACATGGCCATTTGTCGCTGGCATTCTATGTTTAAATCAAATACAGTTTGATAGCACTATACAACTGTTTATGTAACTGCTATAGGCTACATGTTAAAGCATGCCGAGCCTCTTATTTGACAATGCAGGTTTCATAGGCTACTTTTTCAAAAGAATATAGCCTATGTTTTTTTTTTTTTTAATAAAATGTGATAATGTGATAATGCCACTTTTAAACAACGGATTAGGCCTATATATTTGTTGTGGGTGTATGAAGTCAGGTTCAAGTCACATTCATCTATAGACCATTTTGCAAGATGTAAACAACACTGGTCCAGAAGCACTTCCTGTTTCAGTTTTTTAACACTAGGCCTACATAAAAGCTGGGGTAAAATACAACCAACAGAACATATAAAACTGAATCAAAAAGTTAAACAAACATCTTTAAGATGTTTTCTTTACATGTGAAATAAATAAAACAGTTACAAACTGAATTTCTGGACCAGTGTTGTTTATATCTTGCAAAATGGTCTACAGTATATAATCTAGGCTATATAGGTTATACTGCTTTATACAGATTCTGTCAAAGCAGCTTCACAGGAATAAACAGAGAAATAACAGTGTTAATGTTGCAGATTTAATTATGAAACAAATTTTATTTCAGCTAGGCCTATTGTCATTATTAAAGTCAGTTCAGTGTTGATTCAGTTCAATAACAGTTTCGATGCTACAAAGTTAGTGCCATTATTATAAGTTTAATTATTTTAAGAGTTTCAGACAGGTGGCCCATTAATGTTTAGAGAACTAAAAAAAACAAACAAACAAACAAAAAAAAAACTTTTTATCTTCATTTCAAAAAGTTTTATAATTTACAACCTTGCTTGAGAAGTGTCATTCTAGTTTAATATATATATTGTGTGTGTGTGTGTGTGTGTGTGTGTGTGTGTGTGTGTGTATATATATATATATATATATATATATATATATATATACTGATCACAATGACACATACATTTTTTGTGGCTTAAGTGTAGTGTAGAAAGGAGAATATGCTGAATAAAATATCATTTTAGTATAGGGTTAGTTCAATCAAAAATGAAAATTTTCGTTTCAAACCCGCAAGACTTTCGTTCATCTTCTGAACACAAATGAAGAAATTTTTGATGAAATTTGAGAGCTTTAGCCCTCAGCTGTACCACTACAACAACAAAAAGTTTATAAAGAGATTGTAAATATGAATTGAGCGGTTTAGTCCAAATTTTCTAAAGACACGCTTTATGTGATGAACAGATTGAATTTAGCCTTTTATTCACATATAAACATTGATCATCTCACACACAGTTGTGGTAAACAGAAGCTCAAGCATGTTCACTTGACGTGTGAGAACCAATGAGGTTCATTCTCGTGTTATGCAGCACGTTTGAGCTTCTGCAAGAACCAATGAGGTTTGTTCTCGTGAATCAAGCTGGTTCAATTAAGCTTCTTTTTATGTTCACTGATCAATGTTTATTTGTAAATAAAAGCATAAATTCAATCTGTTCATCATTTAAAGCGATCATGTCTCTTCAGAAAATTTTGGACTAAACCGCTCAATTCATATGGATTAGTTTTACAATCTCTTCAGGGATATAAAACTGTCAAATTTATTCAAAAAAAATCTTCATTCGTGTTCCGAAGATGAACGAAAGTCTTATAGGTTTGGGACGGCATGAGGGGTAATTAACAACAGAATTTTTATTTTTGGGTGAACTATTCCTTAAATCATCCTGCAGTAGGCCTTATGTAGTAATTTTACATGAAAATATCCTAATTTCAAGAGCACATGAGTTATGCATTATCTTTCTTTCTCCTAGGGGAGAGGCCATTCCAGTGCAACCAGTGTGGTGCTTCTTTCACCCAGAAGGGTAACCTGCTCCGACACATCAAACTGCACTCTGGCGAGAAACCTTTCAAATGTCACCTGTGCAACTATGCTTGCCGCCGCAGAGACGCCCTCACCGGACACTTGCGCACACACTCGGGTAACTCATGCTTTAGTCTGACGGGATGTAAAGAGACAGACGTGCCTTCTTCATTAACCTACAGCTATTGAATCACTTTAGGCAGTTCAGTTGTTATTGTGTGACACTATATTTGAATTGAAACCACAATGAATAAATTGTATAGTGTGAATGAGCATTTTCATTTTTAACTGACAGTTGGAAAACCTCATAAATGTGCATACTGCGGGCGCAGTTACAAGCAGCGGAGCTCACTGGAGGAACATAAGGAGAGATGTCACAACTACCTGCAGTGCATGGGCCTTCAGAATAGCATTTATTCAGGTATGTGAATGGCAGCATACCAGCTCTCTCTCTCTAAGTGTTATCTATTCTTATAGATGGAAATATGGCTGACCCATGACAATGGCTTAAAAATGTGGTTTATTGTCACCATAATGAAAAGTACAACCCATGATTGCTTTAAAAGTAAAGTACAAGTGCTCAGATGTTTGATGAAATGATTCACAGATACATATATGCCCGTAAAGCCTCAAGGCGTAATAAAAAGTGTCACAAGAAAAAAAAGAAGAAAAAAAAACATAAAAAAAAAAAATCATGATGTGTGCCTCAGAGATGCTGGTAAATGCATGATTCTTTATTATAGTTAGCACCATGTCAGAGGATGAGCTCAGGTTAGATACGGGCATTTGAATCTTATGCGTGGTTTCTTTGTCTTGCTTCCCATAGTGAAGGAAGAGAACAGCCAGAATGAGCAGAGGGAGGACATGCCTGCATCTGAGAGAGCCTTGGTGCTAGACAGGATAGCTAACAATGTAGCTAAGCGTAAGAGCTCTATGCCCCAGAGGTTTGTGGGTAAGAGTTGAAGTTTGCTTTCATTGTACAGAAGTTGTTAGATCATCATCAAAATGCATTCATGTCTCAGAAATTGCAGAGACGTACAATGATGGGCAGCTCCCTCATTTCATTCTCTTCGATGAGCTGACTTTTAAAAAAACAGGAAAAAAGAAACACGATAATAGCATGCAACAGGAATTTGACTGTTGCTTGTTTTTTTAAGCTTTGATTTCATTTGCTGTTATAGCAATAGCTCATGAAGCACTATTACAATAATGTGGTTTGTTACCACGCCCATTTCTCATCTTTTCGTGTTGGTGTTTTCCTGAATAGTATTGTAAAAAAAAAAAAATATGTCAGTGGCACAACACTGGAAGAACACTCTGGAGAACTTCTAGGCAACCTCTGAAGGTGCCTTACTAAATAAATAACTTTACTGGCATCTATAGTTCCATAAACAGCCTTCAACATCCTCTTTAGAGTGAAAGAAATGTTCTTAAGATTAAAAACAAATGGGTAACACTTTAGTTTATGGGGCCAATTCTTACTATTAACTAGTTACTTAAGCATGCATATTACTAGGAGATTAATGCCTAATTCTGAATGACCATATTCTACATCCCTTAATCCGACCCAATACCTAAACATAACAACTACTTACTGACTATTAATAGGCAGTAATTAGGAGTTTATTGAGGCAAAAGTCGTAGTTAATAGTTAATTAATAGTGAGAATTGGACTCTAATCTGAAGTGTGACCATAAAAGGTTTTTCACACTTAGGCCCTTGTTTACACCTGGGATTAAGATGCGTTTTGGTCGATGGGATCACACAGTGGATGATGCTAAATACAGGTGTAAACAGGGTCTAAACGTTTTGACCACTTCCAGAGGTAGTTGAAAACGTATTTGACCGGATTGCTTTTGTAGAGTAAAGAATTCTTCTCCGGCATTACTGCAGAAACCCCCTTTTGGAGATTTTATTTTTTAAGAGAGCACGGCCAAAGTATATGCACCCTTAAAAATAAAGGTTCATTATTGTCATCAATGATTTCATGAATAATCTTCAACATCCATGAAATCTTTCCATTGCAGGTTTTTGTTGTGAAAAAATGTTCTTCCGATTATTAAAATGTTCTTTGCACTTAGAAACTCAAAGTTATTTAAGGAACCTAAAATGGATCTTCAATGGCATTGCTGCGGAAATCTCTTTTTGGAGCCTTTATTTTTAAGACTGCGTCTCAAAATGTTTATGAACCATTATGATGAGGTGTTTTAAAGGAGTAGTTCACTTTTGAAAAAACTTTTGCTGATAATTTCATAATGAACATTCCAGCATTTTTCTCCATATAATGGACTTCAGTGGGAACCAAAAGGTTCAAGGTCTAAAAGACACTTTCAGTGCAAACTGTTCAAAGGGCTTTAAACCATGAATAAGGGTCTTATCAAGCGAAATGATCACTCAATTAATACATAAATAACAAAGTTTAAGTTTTATAAGCTCAAATGCTCGCCTTGCTCTGTTCTGAGATGCGCGTTTGTGACTCTCCTGTTTGAACTCGTTCATCAAAATGAATGAATCTTTTTCCGAGTCATTTGGCTCATTCAAAGAACGAAACGAGCGAATTAACTTGGAAAAAGATTTGTTCATTTTGATGAACGAGTTCAAACAGGAGAGCCACGAACGCGCATCAAAGAACAGAGCAAGGCGACCATTTGAGCTTATAAAACGTAAACTTTTTTTTTTTTTAAATGAGCGATCAATTCGCTTGATAAGACCCTTATTCATCGTCTGGAATCGTTTAAAGCCCTTTGAACAGTTTGCAGTTTAGACTGAAACTGTCTTTTGGACCTTGAACGTTTGGTTCCCACTGAAGTGCATTATATGGAGAAAAATCATGGAAAGTTTTCATTAAAAACCTTCATTTCTTTTCGACTGAAGAAAGAATGACATGGACATCTTGGATGACATGGGGGTGAGTAAAATATCAGCAAAAGTTTTTTCAAAAGTGAACAACTCCTTTCATAGTTCTTGCAGAAGCTCTATTTGGTTCCTCTGAGAACTGTTCATTTTGAAAGGTACCAAGAAGTTCTCCAAAATGTCTTTCATTTCCACAGTAATAATAGTTAATAGTGTAAAAACAAGTAAAATGTCAGAATTTGTGCCTACCAGAAAGAAGGACCGTCTGATGATGCAAATAAATAAATCAGTTTTTATTTTCCATTTCTCAGAACAGAGCTAAAACCTTTCCTCATTTGTCTTTCTCCAACAGGAGAGAATCGTTTGTCGGAGCTGTCGTTCGAGGCCGGCTCGGGCGAGCTCATGCAGCCTCATGTGATCGATCAGGCCATCAACAGTGCGATTAGCTATCTGGGAGCGGAGTCCTTGCGGCCTCTGGTTCAGACCTCCCCTGGCTCCACTGACATGGTGGTCAGCCCTATTTACAACCTCCACAAGACACAGTCAGCCGAAGGCAACGGCGTGTCTGCTAAAGACAGCGCCGCCGAGCACCTCCTTCTGCTGTCCAAGTCCAAATCAGCCTCGGTCGAGAAGGACGGCTCCCCCAGCCCCAGCGGCCAGGACTCCACTGACACCGAGAGCAACGAGGAGCGGGCGGCCGGGGGAGGCGGGGGAGCGACCGCAGGGGGTCTCATCTACCTGACCAATCACATGGCTCCAGGTATGCGTAACGGAGGTCTGCCCGTGGTGAAAGAAGAGCAGCAGAGGCATTTCGAGGCCTTGCGGGCAGCAGGTATGGAGCTGAGTATGGCGACTCCGGAGGGGTTTAAGGTTCTGAGTGGAGAGGGAGAAGAATTGAGGGCATATCGCTGCATCCATTGCAGAGTTTTGTTCCTGGACCACGTCATGTACACCATCCACATGGGATGCCATGGCTTCCGAGACCCCTTCGAGTGCAACCTGTGTGGTTACCGCAGTCAGGACCGCTACGAGTTCTCATCGCACATCACACGCGGAGAGCACCGCTTCTGAGCTAACACACAGAGACGTTCCACATACGCTTGACTACACGTTTACACGAGTGCACACACCCCACACACACACGAAAAAAATTCAACATTTTAGAATTTTTTAGACACTGTCCAAACGCTGGATTTTTTTTTTAAGTTTCATGTAACATTGATTTGGACATATGTACATACAGTTAGTCTATATATTTCACTGTCTTGTCTATTTTTCTACAATGGTGTGATTTGTATGTAAACCTGTGAGACTTTACAAAAAAATAAAAATAAATAGAAAGAACTGTAACTGAAAATAGAAATTAAGTGTTTTAAAAAAAGAACAAAATTTATAAATCATCCCAAACAAGTTTTTAACTGCCCTAAAGTTACTTAGACACATAATAATACTACTAATTAAATAATGCGTACAATTGTGATAAATTTAAAATAGTATTTGCAATAGAAGGGATGTAAATTCATCTTCTGTATCTCTCACTTCCCTGTGTTCCAACTGTTATGAAAACACTGCATTTTTTCCATTTAATTTTAAATATATTATATTTTTTATATATTAAGCAGTCTGATCAAGTTCATATCATTTTATAATTTATTACAAAAAACTGTTTCACAATTTTTCCATTTTATGTATGATGACCCCCTCTTCAAATGCTCCCCTGTATATTGAACCAAATGGCAGTACATATTGAACTTGTTTTATTTCACAGCTGATTTCTGCTTGTTTTATATTCTATTTAAAAGTTTGGCAGCAATTTACTCGTACATATTTACATCAACATACTAGAATATATATGCTTGCAAGAATATTAATAAAAGATATTTTACATTTGTTTGACCTCTGATAATGTGTCATGTTTTGTAAAGCATATTTTGTTGAAAGGGATAGTTCACCCAAAAAAAATAAAATTCGGTCATCATTTACTCACCCTCAAGTAGGCTAAGTTGTTCCAAACTTGTATGATGCCCTGATGATATATCCCTGCGGTTTGGCCTCTCATTTACACGAAAACCCCGTTTTTATCACAGAAGATGATTATTTCTAAAAACTCTGGCCAAAGTGGAGATTTCCAATAACGCCGGTTATGTGTGGTCGTTTCATCTGGGAGAAACGGGGTTGTTGTCGGTACTCGAACGTCACATTATGCGCCAGAAAATGCTTAACGTCACGTGAGCGCCCAGTTTGGCATAGTTATCATAGACAAAGAAAGGGTATTTATGCGGGCTGATGTAAATGACAACTTTTTTTGAAAACTTTGTTGTGGGGTGGGGGAATTGAGGGATATTGAGGGATTGAGAGAAGACTACTTTTTTTTAAGATAAGTGGGGGGGGGGGGGGGGGGGGCTTATTTACACTCTTGATGTTTCGTTTCAGATCGTCACCCATTCATTGCTGTACATTTTTTTTCTGCACAGTTGCTGATCTGTAGTTTGTTCCACCAAAAGTTTCTCTGAGTTTTCCTATTTTTTCGAAGTGTGACTATTTTTTACGACCCTTTAACATATCAGAATCATTCCTTGATTATTTTTTGTGTGTGTGTGTGTGTGTTCAATACAACAAAAATCACCAAGTTTCATCCCCTTCCGATGAAGCAAAAAAAATAAATAAATAACGTTAACGTTCAAAACATCGACGGCTTCGGTCATATTTGATATTTGTTAACCCAGTAGGTTAACGTTATAATTAATTTGCTAATGCAGATTGAGTATAAAAAAATTAATTAATGAAGTTATGTTTATAGCTACTTCATAGAAATGTTAAAATAATTAGTAGGCTACAGAGCTTAATTAGAATGTGTGGCATCCAAGCATCACGCTTCTAGATAATCACTTTTTATCTAAATAATTGAGCTAAATGAACTTCAAGACAAAGATGTCACATTTCGCATAAATTGCTTGGAAGAAATTTACACAAGAATTTGAAAATAAAACTGAATACCTATATTGAATAGTAACAAATAATATATTCTGAGAACAAAATGTAGGCCCATTGTCTTTTCTAGATTCATTTCCTCTTCCTATAAATTTAATGTGTATGGCATTTTCAGAACTCTGGAATTAGAAAAGGAATCACTATTTCTCAGGTGTTAACAAATGAAATGATCTTTCTGAACTATTTGTACTCTTGCCATTGTGCACTCTTACAAATTATAGTTTAAGGGAGATGGAGTAAACCGAACAAGAGCAGATCTGTCAAGAGAGCATGAGTGACCCCGACCCAAGAACTCACCAGCTCTTCGCAACGACATGCGTGTCCAGATGGCTGCTGTGTGATTGGGTAGAAACGAGAAGCAGCTGTGGCCAACACAGAGCCCCCCACGCTTCACTGGGACCTAACCGTGGAGAGAGTACATTTGCATGAGAGGGATAATCTGGCCAGCTCCCCCCTCACACACACACCACCCCATCCCCAACAGCCTCTATCCCAAATCTCACTTCTCTTTTCCGCTTCAACTCAAGATAGTACAGCTCAAATAGAGAAACATCTCAAGTCCCCACCCATTCAGAGAAACATTAAAGTTGTCCGCCAAATGAGAGACCAATGTGTCAGTCAGGCCGATTTACAGAAAAGTTATTCGTTTTGTGAAGTTTGAGTATGTAATAATTAAAATGCATGTTTATTGCATTTCAGACCTTACAAAAACATCAGCCAATGAACCACCACTTAAAAATGTCAGCACCAAAGGCTATTTTATGGCAGAAACAAGGTGGAACAAATAATAAAATAAATGAACATGTAATGTTGGCATGTCAGTCAAAACTGACCAACATTTTTTGTTTTTTTAATTATTGCACTCTAGGCATATTGTAGTTTGATAATTTTGGGTTAAAAAAGTATTTTTAGGAGATTTTATTGTACCCCAAATTTTCTTTATGCAGTAATTATAATCCAGTTATTCATTTTTTGAGCATGGAATGAAAATGGTACCTGAAAATGAAATTTCCAACTTAAACAGTCATAAATCTTTAATGCATTTGAGCACCGACCTAAGTTTGTTTTTAAAGATAAAAGTGAAAAAAAAGTATTAAAAGTATTAAGTGGTATTAAGAAGTATTAAGTTCATTTTGAAGTATTAAGTTCATTTCAAAATGAACTTGAAAAATGTAGTAAGATTTTACATTTATTTGTAATGAAAAATGCATCACAAAAATTCAATTATCAATTTTTATATGAATTGTGTATTTTCCAAAACACATTTTTCTCTAAAACTGTGAGAAAATCAAAGCCATAAATCTAAACAAGCAATTCCAAATTTGAAGTTGATATCTCAAAAAATAGCTTTCAGTAAGAATTTGTTTCTGCGCAGTTACAAACATTTCCAATAGATGAAATTCGTTTCATTGTCATTTTTAACGCAAACAATACAAGTGTGACTATTTTTCTCTGAATCATTAAACCTTTTCAAATCATGTCCACTTTACACAGCAATCAGCAAAAACCTTTACCAAGTTTCATACCATTCTGATGAAAAAAAAATCACAAATGACCAGAGGGTTAGAAAAGTAAACTTTTAAAAAGTTAATAAAAAGAAATCCTATTTTCTCAAATGTTCCTGCGATAAAAAGCTCTTTCTGCTGACATCGCACTAAATACATTCCGCCACCATGAAGTATTAAAACTGATTGTATGAATAAACTATGTAGTCAGCTTAAGACAAACTAGAATAAAAAAATCATGCAGAAGTTCACGTGTTGTAGATAATGTGCTGAGAAAGGCTGTGGAGGAATTCGGTGTCCTCCTATAGTCCAGCTGTGGGCTACCCCTGTGGTTCTGACAGCCTTCCACCGCTCCTCAGGGATGGACTTAGGCTACTACTTGCACTGCTGGCTAATTTTACAAAGTTTCAACACTCCGGCCAAACACACAACCCTAAAATATTCATTAACCCGCTTTACAAAAAGATGAAAAATAAATGACACCCTTTTTTCATGGGCTTCCAGTTTTTTTTCTAAGATTGTTTCATGAAAATTACATGACTGATTCATTTCATGTGAGCACAATCTATAATCGGATGCAGATGAAGACAAGCCAGGAGGAGTCAGAGTTTAGAATCGAATCAGACTGTTAAATCCCACTCGTCTTCTGAGGTGTATTAACAGTTCAGCCTGACTTCCTGTGAGAATGGTTTTGCAGTTGCAAGAAAGACGCAACCAAATCAATCAGCCATCTATATTCAATTTTTCCAGACTGCAGTCATCAGGTTTCACGTAACACAGACCTCGTTTCACTTCAACACAAATCAGTTGTATTTTGCCAATGAGAATGTAATAAAAACACCAAACAAAAAGAACAATTCAGGGAAGCTAGTCTCAAAAAAAAAAAAAAAAAAGTGACAGAAATCAAAAAGTACAACTAAATCCAAAAACAAATTAATTCAAAGCTGCATTAATCTGAGCTTTGCCAAAAAAAGAAATATTTATATTTTGTAACCTGACCCAAACCATTCATTCATTGCTTTGTAATTTGGCCTGGGTGAGTTTCCTCACCACTGCACCAGCCACTTTTATTCCTCATGCCATCTGCGGCCACTCAATTAGAGCTCCACAATGCTCCTCTCCATCCATCAACAGTAAACGCATCAAGCCACAGTTGTTATCTGCTTATTTTCTATAATGCATCATTTTTTGTGAGGTGCATGGCAATGAAATATTGACAGACAGCCTGAAAACAGTCCTCTACAGACATGTTTAACTGGAGGGGGCAAACCCAACAAACTTCCCTCTAGGATGAGGATGAAGAGTCCACCTTTAAAACCCCTTTCAAGGCACACAGCCATTCCTCTGGTTTACCAGATGTGGTCCGAGACCGCACTGGCTTAGCAACAGGAAAGGCACTGCAAGAGTTGATCTGTGGGTACTTCTTATCATGAGACCAGAATGCCTGCAGGGTTGCCCAACTTCCCCTCCAAATCCATTCACCAAGACTGAACATAATGGGAGAGTTGGCCCTAAGGTGTCTCACACTCTGTCTCTACAGAAGCGAGAGCAGGTAAACACGGAGAGCCGGTGAATTCATTCTGTACACATTGAAGGAAGGGCTGGCTGAACATTGTACTAGCTGACAGTTCCCCTTCGGATAAGTGCATGCATTCAGAGGGAAACAGACTCGAGACCCCATGTTCCTTTTTAGTACAAATTTGCCGAACATTTCCTCTTAGATGGAAAACAGCTCCACTAAATGATGAAACTATTTTCAGAAAGACAACTGTGGTATGCTAATTTTGAGGCAATGAATACAGTAAAAAGTTCAGTTTTATCTAATCATAAGTGCTATTTTGAGTCATATCCATACTGAAACTGCAACAAAACCGACATGTCTGCAGTCACAATAACAGCTCTCTGAAAAGAGCATGTTCATGAAAAAGACGAAAAAGACTCAAGACAAATCAACCATTTATTTCAATAAATGAACCCAACACCATACTAACATACTCATACTAACATAAAACTCAGTTAGTATAATCACAACACTCGCGCTCAGCGACCACAGCCAAAAGTCTTGTTCCACTCTTCATATAGCTCCAGATCTTTAGAAGAGACACTGGGCCGCACTGTTTTGAGAGCCTCCTGGAAGTCACCGTAGAGTATTGGCCGAACCTGTTCTTCTGTGATGGTCGTTATATCACTAAGGCAAATGCTTCGGATGGGGCCAAGGGCTGCTTCGCGACACAGCTGCGTCATATCCGCCCCCGAATACCCCTCTGTTCCCTGCATCACTTTCTCCATCTCATCTGCCGTTAGCTGACTTTTCTCACGGGACATGAGGTTGATCACTATCTTCCGTCGAGCCTCAGCCTCCGGGAGAGGGATGTAGAGTCGCTTGGATAGGCGACGGCGGGCTGCTTCGTCAATCTCTTGAGGCCGGTTGGTGGCACCAACCACAAGGATGCGATCTTCTGCTGAGGTGGCAGCTCCATCCAACTGGACGAGAAACTCTGTTTTAATTCGACGGGATGAGTCGTGCTCTCCGTCTGTGCGCTGAGAAAGAAGGGAATCGATCTCATCGATGAAGATGACTGCAGGTTGGTGGCACCGAGCGATGGCAAAAAGCGCCCGTACCATCTTCTCGCCCTCCCCGACCCACTTTGAAGTGAGCGACGAGGCGCTGATGCTGAAGAAAGTGGCTCCGGATTGGCACGCTATACACTTCCCGATTAGAGTTTTACCGGTGCCTGGAGGACCAAAGAGAAGGATGCCTTTAGGTGGACCTCTAAGACCGGTGAAGATATCAGGCCTCAACATTGGCCACACTACAATCTCTTTGATTGTGGCTTTGGCAAACTCCAGGCCGGCGATATCATCCCAAGCTACAGGGGGGCCGTGGTCCATGATCTCACTCATGATAAGTTCAATGATCTTGGGCTCAAAGTTCTTTAAACGCTCGTCAACAGGTTCCGTGTCTTGTGGTTTGTTGTCCTTCGAGTAACTCTCTTCCTCTTGTCTTGGCATGGGAGAGACGAATTTGGAGGTTGCCCCGCGAGGCCGTTGTGCCCCCAGGCATTTCTTGGAGATTGTAGCAAAGTTGGCCCCAGAGCCTCGCTGGCCCTGATGGGAATGTTTTTTTTGCTGGTCAACTATGAACTGTTCTCGTGCTGATCTAAAATTAGTGCTGACACCCTCTTCTCCTCTCCGTCCCCTCCCTCGCGGTTCCTGCTCGCCTTGTGATGGGAATGAACTTCTGTTGCTTTCACTTCCTGAGCTGTAGAAGTTCTTCCTCTTGGATGGGTTTGTGGAAGAAAAGAACACTGGCTGATTGTGCACATTGGAGCCACTTGTGCAACCCATACTAGATTGAGTCACACTAGCATTGCCTGTGGAATTGAAATAGTTTTGGCCAAACATAGGCGATCCCATTGGAGCTTTTGGAGCATTTTGTGCCAGGGTCAAACGCGGAAGGGCTCCTTCAAGTCCTCTGGCCATCTCCGTAGCACCACTAAGTGGGTTACTGATCCCCTTTCCCATATCAGCTCTGGGTGGAGGCGCGGAGGGCAAGTGAGCCAGAGGCTCTCGTCTAAAACCAGGAGGACCAGAGAGAGCGCTGCCTTTCTCCCCACCCTCACTGACCTCACCACCAACAGTGATGTTAACATCTGCCGGATCTACTAAGAGAGCGCCTTCTTTTGACCCAGCCTGCATCATCCTTTGCACGCACGGCAGATTGAACACATTCTCGGACGTTAGGGATGACACCCATTTGTCGCTATAGTTCTTTTGATTGCGGGCCAAGTGCAGGGCACTCTCTGCATAGTTGTTTAGCCCGGTGCGTGGGTCGTCTGAGTCCAGGGCTGAGGCGTACCTCTCTGAGTAGGTCCTGAGCAGGCTGGCAGCTCCAGCCGGAGAGAGCTCAGCACTCGCCCATGCATACTGAATGGACAGGATGTGTGCCCGATAAGCATCGGCCGTCTGTTCAGGTGTACAAGAGCCAGACGAAATGTCAAAGGACCTCCTCTGCCACTCGTCCAGGTGTGCTCTGCTCATGCCTGGCCTGATCCAGCCTGGGTAAGAAGTGGGCACAGGATCAATTAATAATGTATAAAAGTTGAGGTAGCACACAACAATAGGGCTATTGAAGGGTGGTGATGATAATGCAGGTTAAATAATGATTTTGCAGGCAATATAAAGTTAAGCAACATTGTGAATTTCAATATAACTTGAATCCACTTTTTATGTGCCAATTGGGTTTCCTAAAGCTTGATTTTCCAGTATGAGAGCTTTAAGACAAAAGCATTTCAATAGTGCCTCTAATTTAAACTCCAAACTCCATGACAGTTTTTATGTAGTAGAAAAACAACATAGTAAACATTACATAATAAATTCATACGTTTTTGATTCTGTAATTATACTGGGGCATATAATTAAAAATAGCGCTCTTCCCTGTGTTCATTTAAGAAATGAACAGTGTGGAAAACATGCCTTGATCAGTTTAAACTATATTATATGTAATCCCTTTCAGACAAAATACATAAATATTAGTATATATAATATTGTCAAAAGGCAGAAAAGTATTTTGATTTTTTTTTTTTGCTGTATATCTCAGGCCTACTGTCTTAGTGAATGAGATGATCAGTTAGAAAATAAAATTACGAGCAGGAATTGAATATAACTGCGCAGGAATTGAATATTGAATATAACTGTCCAGAATGTATGTGTGTGTGTGTATATATATATATATATATATATATATATATATATACTGTATATATAACCTCTTTTATTGCCTTAAATCCAAGATAAAGTTACATATTTAATTCCAGAGTAAGTTTATCCATTCCTCTCATTTTCGTTCATTCAATTTGTAGAGAGAGTGCAAAGTGCAGAATATTTCTGATGATCTGAAAAAAATTCCAAAAAAAAAAGTTTCTGCTTTAAATGTTTCAAATTAGTTTTGTAGACAACTATGAAATTCATCATGAAATTCATTCATGTATAAAAGTCTGCAAAAGGGTTGTACTTCCTGAAAAAAATATATATTTGGGGATGAGACCAGATAATGAAGAAACAATCAGTCAAAAGCAGAGCATAGATGTGAACAACTTAATTTGTGTATGAAACCATGGAGCGAGCTAGATTTTATTAGTTAATCTGTACACAATCCCTATAGCCCACTGTTGTGTTATGTCATTGTTTTGATGACATATTATTTTAAAGCCTGAATTGTGTTAAGAACAAAGAATGAGATGTACTACTATTTCACTTCATACCAATGCTACTGTATGCGACAGAAATGTGATAGTCGAAATCCACATTATCCATAGAATGATCGTACATAACGATCTTACGAATAATGTCTCAAGGGGTAACACATATATGGAAATGGAATATTTGTAGGACGTTCAGATATTGAGGACAAAGTAGCTTTATCTAAAAACCGAACGTGAGCTGACAAGCTGGAACACAAATCACAAATACAGCTTCAAACACTCACGTGTGCATTTACTTTGGGAGAGGAAAGTTGTAACCTAACTTACCTCTGGATTAAACGTTTCTCTTTTGTAAATGCTGTAAGGTTCAGCAACACCTGAAAATCTAAACAACGATACGGAACAAAACAACAACCATAACTTTGACTAAACCTCGCGCCTCCTATTTTTCTGAGCAGATGTGCGGCGCGCGCACCACCAACTTCCGGATGCTCAGTAATAGGATCGCGCGCGCCATCGCCTGGAGAAAGACACTCAGTGCGTTTATTTTAGGGCCTGTGCTAAATGTTCGCGTTTTTCTTTGTATTATATTTTATTTCTTTATATCGATCATATGTCATTTGAACAAAAGACAGGTAATGTAAAAAAATATGTTTCTTGCTAACACTGACTATAAAACAAGACATTTCAACTGAACCCATGCCGTGGTCGTGGTAACATTCCACTTGCTAGACTTTTTTTCAATATTTTTATTGGAAATATATATTTATTGTAAACTTTAAAGTGTAAAGTGCTGTAGTAACTGACATTTCAACTGGCAGCAATTTTTCTTATGTTTTTATGGAAGGCCATTTCTGCCATAAATAGAAAAAATCACGTATTGGTAAATCATAATTCTAACATTAAAGTCATACTCATGAGATAAAAAAGACGAAATTATGTAATAGTAAATCAGAATTATGAAATGTATATAATTATTTCGACTTTTAAGCTCATATCTGTCTTAGTACCTGATGTCAACGTTTACTTTTTTCTAATAATTATGATTTCCCAAAACTTTTTTTTATGTGGTCGAAATGGCCTTCCATAATTTTTGCTCTGAAAATCATAGCAATTGTTTGAATGGAAGCCAGAACAGGATACACGCAGTATGTTACTATTTATTTGTAGCTAACACAGACTATATACTGACTTGAACATCCGCAATATCAATCGTGCAGTTAAAAATCAGCACAGCTGTAATGTTAGTCCCGAATGTAACATAAAACTACAATTCCCACAAGTCTGTGCGGCGTGCGTGCGTTCACTCCACTCCAGCGGTACGTCGCATCATGAATGTGTTGGGATAAAAGGCTTCAACTGGGGATTTAAACTGATGTCTACTGTCTAGACGAATACACAGGAAGCGAGGAATTAAATGCATAGCTATATACAGTCGACCGCTATTCTTTGACTCTGTACTTGTAGCGTTTTGCTGGATTTTGTTTTTTAAATATTTTTTGTTTATAGACAATCATGAAGCTAGCGTAGACTGTTAGCTGCGATAATTCAGAAGCCAAATCCTACAAGAGTCACACCCTAATATACGGCCACGCGACTGCGGGTACAGATGCCCGACCCGGGAGTTTGGGAGTAACGTCATAGCTAGATCATTTCTAATAACGATATTGTTTTTATTTGTGCAAATCAACTCAGAAGGGAGGTCATGTATGTCCGGTTTCAGTCTACTTTGTTGGGAGACAGATAACGTTAGTCGGCTAGCTAGTGTGTGTGATCGTCAGCAGAAGACAGGAATATGAGTTCACCAATGTACACGTTTGTTCTGAGAGATGACAACAGTACTGTTTATGCTGAGGTCGCCAGGATCCTCAGCTCTACTGGAAAATGGAAACGACTGAAAAAGGACAATCCTCGGTTTAATTTAATGCTGGGAGAGAGAAATCGGCTGCCTTTTGGAAGACTGGGTAAATGATTTCAAGACCTGCGTATCTGACACGCATTTCCAACTCAAAATGCAATAATGATGTGATTGTTTTAATCCCATGCTGTTTACACATTTCTAAGTTAGGTTAAGAGTTTCAGCAAGTTAATTTCTCAAATAAAATCTCATCTAACCCGTGCTCATTTTCAGCTTTTTGGAGACAAGCTGTTAAATTTATTATAATGCACGATAAAACAATGCACTGCGGTGTCCAGCAGCAATAACCACACATATTCAGCTTTATAATGCATCCCAGTGGATCAGTATCTCTGTAACTGTGTAGTAATAACACGTAATAACATTGACATTAACTTTTTTTTTTCAACATAAGTTTTAATATTAGTATTTTATAAATATTTATAAATTACTAAAGCACATAAGTGCATATGGTTTTATAAGTATATATATATATATATATATATATATATACAGTATATATATATATATAATAACATTTCTTATTATGAGTTATTATCAGAATGTGATAGACTACCATTCAAACGTTTGGGGTAAGATTTTAATAAAAGATCATTACTAATAATATTTTTATTCTCCAAGTATGCATTAAGCAGCAAAAAAAAAAAAAAAAACTGTTTTCAACATTGATAATAATAAGATCCATTTATAATAATTGAGCACCAATAATAATGTCAAATCAGCATATTAGAATGATTTCTGAAGGATCATGTGACTGAAAACTGGAGTAATGATGCTAAAATTCAGCTTTGTCATCACAGGAATAAATCCCATTTTAAAACATATTAAAATAGAAAACAGTTATTTTAAATTGGAATTTTAAGTAACATAATGGTTTTACTCAATTTTTGAGCAAATAAATGGTGAGCATTAGAGACATTTTTCAAACACAATTAAAAGAAAATCCAAACATTTAGGGGTAGTGTGTGTACATTGCTGTTGGTGGTGAACTACACAAATGTTGATTAAAGTATTTTTAGCTGCAGGACAGTGCCGTCACCGCTCAATATTTCGACATTTCAGTGTCAGATACCCTGCTGTGTCCTCTACAGGTCATGAACCAGGACTGATGCAGCTGGTGAATTATTTCAGAGGAGCCGATAAACTCTGTCGCAAAGCATCACTGGTCAAGTAGGCTGTTTATTTATTCATACCAGATGAATAAAGTTTCTTTCCCCCATTCAAATGTATAACCATAATTGATGTTAATGAGAGTTTTGAAGTGATGTTAGGAATTATGCTTACTTAAGGAATGTCTTCAAAGCACACTTTGCTTTTTCATCCATGCTATTGATTTATAAACTCTGCAGATCCTCAGTCATGAATTATGTTTATATAAGCATGTCTGTTGTTTAGGATTATCAAGACCAGTCCAGAGTTAAAGGACTCCTGTAACTGGTTCCCTGAGTCTTACATCATATACCCAACCAACCTCAACACCCCAGTGGCCCCGGCCACCAATGGCATCAGCCACATGAAGAGCAACCCAAAGACAGATGAGCGAGAGGTCTTTTTAGCTTCATATTACTCCAGAAAAGAAAGCGGAGAGGGAACGGTATGGATCGCCAAATCATCAGCAGGTGCAAAAGGTATGAATTTCTATAGTCCAAAGTGGTAAGTTGGAAGAGAGATGTCAGAATGCAATCTTTGTACATGATTTGATAGTATGATAATGTCTCTCCCTATCTTTGTTCAGGTGCGGGTATATTGATATCTCATGATGCAAACCAGTTGCTTGAGTTCATCGATAATCAAGGCCAAGTGCACGTCATTCAGAAGTATCTGGAAAAACCACTGCTGCTGGAGCCAGGACATCGCAAATTTGATATAAGGTAAGATGAGCTATTTAATCATTTGTGCTGAATGTTTTGATGCGATTATGTTCCATCCTAATTATGTCCAAGTACTTTAAGTTGATGGATATTCTCTTGTCTGTAGGAGTTGGGTGCTTGTAGACCATCAGTACAATATCTACTTGTACCGTGAGGGTGTGTTGAGGACATCTTCTGAGCCCTATAACAGCTCAGATCTCCAGGATATGACCAGTCACCTGACAAATCACTGCATCCAGAAGGAGCATTCGCAGAACTACGGCCGCTATGAGGAGGGCAACGAGATGTTCTTTGATGAGTTCAGACAGTACCTGTTGACCACACACAATCTTGCCATGGAAACATCTATTTTACCTCAGATCAAGCATATTATCAGGTGCTCCTATATTGAAAGTTCACCTATAATGATTGCATGTTATCAAGTTGTATAAGAAAAAGGCATTACTTATTTCTCAAAGATACTTGATTATTGTCAGAGATGTTCAGTGGGGGTGCATAACTTTGAGTCTACTAATGCAAATATTTATATTCTGAATTTTTTCAAATTTAAATGTCTATAAATTATACAAAAAATCAGTGTTATTTTTGTATAATTTATAAACTACTATAATATTTTGAATGAGCTTTATTTTTATACTTTCTAATTTAATTTTATGTTTCGTAATTTTTTTTTGTTCGTTTTAGTTATAGTAACTTTAGTACTTCAACTTCAGTTATTTGCTAAATAAGTTTTTAATGTAAATTTATATTTTATTTCAAGTAACAAGTTAATAGTTTTAGTTAACACTGTTGCAATTGTATTTCAACTTAACAAATAAGTGATCTACAATCTTAATTATTTCTTTCAAATTTTACATAATATTTCTGTTTTAATTTTTTTATAAAAGTAGTGTTAAATCAATGAATCACATCTAAAGTTTTTAAATATATATATATATATATATATACTGTATATACACTAACAAAAATTTTGTTAGATGTGATTAATCATTTTAAAAGCACTTCTCTTTCAAAAGATTTTTTAATAAAAAAAATAACATATTTTTACTCCATATATGTTGGCATTTGTGTTTGTGTGTAACTAACTGTAGCTATCCTCTGAAATCCTGTGGCTTGTCTCAACAGGAGCTGTCTCGCATGCATCGAGCCAGCCATCAGCACAAAGCATCTGTCCTACCAGAGCTTCCAGCTTTTTGGCTTTGACTTCATGGTGGACGAGAGCTTCAAAGTCTGGCTAATTGAGATAAATGGGGCGCCTGCTTGTGCACAGTGAGTTCACACTTCTCTTTTGTTATGTCCACAATGTTTTGCTTTTGTATCTTCCAAATGTCAGAAATATTTGAAAAGCAATCATGATTTTGTCCCTCATTTTCACATTTGTTGTGTTAATGCATAAATTATCCTATATATAGAATGTGTCACCACAAGTTTTGGGAGAGGAAAAAAACCTTTAGGCATCCTAGCTAAATGTATAATGGTGAATTTCACACTGAGGTAAAGGTTGTGAAAAGAGGTGCGAGTTGCAACATGATACCATCTATTAAACATTTAAGGTCAGACTGTTGTTCTAACAAATAATTTGAACCATGTATTGTTGCTGTTCCCCATCTGGCAAGTAACTCAGTTTTATTTTTATTTGTTTCCGCCTGAGTCTGTTTGTGTGTTTGTATGAAAGAGAGCTGGCCATAGCTAATAAAGCGTCATTTCATGGGGGAAAACATGAAAATAGTTTATCATTTTTATCCTGTTGTTTGATATTTTTATTTGATTGCTCAATGTCTTTGTAATTTTTGATATTAAAGTTTCTCTCTCTTGTAGGAAACTCTACACTGAGCTATGTCAAGGCATCGTGGATGTGGCCATCTCCACAGTGTTCTCTCTAAACGCAGATGCTCTCTCATCCTCACCTCCGTTCTCCACTTCTCCATCTCTTTCCTCCAACTCCTGCTCCTCACCCAAGATCAGGGCACCCCATCATTTCGGCCCATTCATCAAACTATAAATTGCTGTTGCAGGATGCTGCTGTTGTCATGCAAACCCCGTCCCTATAGTCCTGCCCGAAAACAACATCAACCAATCTGAGAGGCTTAAGGGTCTACACCTGATCTTGGGATTGAACATACAGGGATTTCTAAAGGATCTCTGTCTGAAGAGGACTGAAGGTACATGGTGTCACCTCTGAAACTCTGTCAGTTTCCATCCATCATTTCTAAAGCAAACGCAGAAGAGTCCACAGAAATACAGAGAGCATGAGTTTCCAAAGTAAAGACTGGAAGGTGAGGAGAATCCTGCACATGCCAGTGTAGCATTACCTAGAAAAGAGTGATTTGTTTCTAAAGCCAAGCATGTACATTAATAATCAAGACTTTGTTTGTAACACTTGTACGTCATTTAAAGACTTGAATTTGCGAACACACTTTTGAAGGATGAGTGGCAACCAAAGAGAAGGGTTTAGATCCTCTATGGCTGCATCTGAAATCACATACTTCCCTACTATATAGTAGGCAAAAAACAGTATGTGAAAAAAGAAGTATGTCCGAATTCACAGTACTCATAAAAGAGTAGACGAAAAGTACTTGGATGACCTACTACTTTACGGCGAGGTTCTGAAGTGTGCATACGATGGACACTTTACTATCCCATGAGGCGACGTAACTGACGCTAGTAGGCCACATAATAATGACAGCAACAACACATTCATACTACACAGAACATACCTTTTCAGCGGCCCTTTGAGAAATAAGTTACTTATTCAAAATAAGTACCTACCCAAGAGAGTATGTGATTTCGGACGCAGCCTAGGCCCCAGATCTGTTGCGTCAACGAGACTCCTCAGGACTTTCCCAGGCACCTTGATGTAACGGAGGATGGATTTGAGACTTTAGTGCCTTACATATTCACATTCTCTCAACACCCACTTCCACAAGTTAATATGGCCTTTTGTACATCTGTATGTCCCATCAACTGTATTCTCTATTAGACTCTTGTGTGCGTTTTGTGCTGTTAGCTTCAGTGTAATACGTGGTTTTTAAACCACAAAAGACTCTTTTTCAGATATTTATGATTTGCAGTGTAGTGTACATGGTTGTGATGTTAAGACAGTATTTGGTAGAAGTAGCAGAAGATAATCTGTTTGCATACTTATTGTCATGTTACTGTTCTGTCTAGTGAGAGCAGATTTAGTCTTCCCACTGATTCTGTTATTGTGACACGATACATTCATTATTACTTTGTGACAGGCAATCAAGAACATCTGGGAATTGGGAAGCACTGCCTTCTGCTTGTTTTGTCATGAGCATTCACAACTCATCACTTAGTATTCAATAGACAAATGATAATAGTTATTTGCAATAGTTATTTAGTTCATTCCATCCAAACTTTGTCAAGAGTTGCATTTTCTGAATGAGTAAACCTTCAGAGGACTGAGATGTTGCATGTCAAAGCATGTTAAAAGCTAGGCTCTTTATACATACATAGTAAACGTCTAAATATGACTTCCTGTATGATGTATATGATTTGCTCAGCTGAAGAAAAAATAAGGCTTTGGAAGATTTTTATCCATCTAATGCAAGTGAATGATGCTTCATTTTGACTGTTCAAAATCATTTAGGCAGCTTCAAACGCCTCCACAAGCGTTATAAAGTATTTAAAAAAATGATTTTTCCTCAGAAAATGACATGATTTGCTAGAGAAGACCCTGGGGTCGTGTGGAGGCCTTTGAAGCTGCCTAAATATGATTTTTGGATCATAAAAATGCTCTGTGTTGAGCACCATTCACTTGCATTTAGATGAAGAAAAATCCTGTCATGTTTTCTTCCAAAACCTTATAGGGATAGTTCACTTTGAAATGAATTTTTAATAGGTTTTAGCTTACCTCAAGGGCATCCAAGATGTAGGTGTCTTTGTTTCCACAGCATTTTCAATTTTGACATTTTTTGGTCAAACACAACAGTTGTTGTCTGTCAGTCATAATGATGCAGGTCAAATGGGAGCCCACCTCAAAGAGCATGCACAGAGAAGTCCAAATTAAACATGATTTAATGACTCGTGAATGTAAGTAGACACTGATGGCCTAAGACACTAAACGAGCGGTTTGTGTGAGAAAACGAACAGTATTTATATAGTTTTTACCTCTTGTAAACAGCCGTCGAGAACCGACCTGAACCGTCTCCAGCGTGACGCCGGAAGTGATCGCGTGCGTATGTACGTCACGCATTGTTTACACGGAGATTTCGGAAGTTTTACCTTTCACTAAACCTATTTAGATATACGGGAAATCGCAATGGAATACGATTTCGATATATCTAAATATGTTTAGTGAAAGATAAAACTTCCGAAATCTCCGTGTAAACAATGCGTATACGCACGCGATCACTTCCGGCGTCACGTTGGAGACGGTTCAGTTCGGTTCAGTTGGACATCTGACTGATTCAGATCAGTTCGACGGCTGTTGTTAACATGAGGTAAAAACTATATAAATACTGTTCGTTTTCTCACACAAACCGCTCCTTTCGTGTCTTAGGCCATTACATTTACGAGTCATTAAATCATGTTTAATTTCGACTTCTCTGTGCATGCTCTTTGAGGTGGACCCAGGGTGGACTCCATAGACTCAAAATTGAAAATACTGTGGAAACAAAGACACATACATCTTGGATGCCCTTGAGGTAAGCTAAAACATATCAAAAATTAATTTTAAAGTGAACTATCCCTTTAATTTCTCTAACATCTTGGATGCCCTTGGGGTGAATGCATTATTTCTACGTACTCTTGTTTATATTTCTGTACACTGCTGAAATGGTTTATGCGTAGCAGAGCACAATTATTTCTTTGGATTTTTATTAGCACACAATACGGGTTGCTTGGCAATCGGGTTGTGTGCAGCGATAGTCATTTAATGTAATTTCTTTAACATGATCTGCACAGGTTTATGACCTATTTCATCTTACTGTGCATGCAGATATGACTGAGTTCCTGTGATCGGTGTGGTTCATTAACAGCAGGCTCTGAGGGATTGATCTGTACACTGTCATGATGTAGATCACACACAGGCAAGTTGATGTGGAAGAAGAAAGCAGCAAATTAGGGTTTGAATGTGTGATATTCTGATATCAGTATTTATGTTGTTTGGCAGAAGAGGAAGGATGTGAAAAGGAGTTTAAACAGTATTGCATCTTTGAATTTAAAAGGAAAAGTATTGAAGGAAAGCCTTTTTTTTACATTGTGTCATCAATCCTACTAAGAGCAGTTTTCGAAGTTGTATTATGCATCTTTTTCGGTTCTCGTCTTGTTTGTAGTGTGTATTACTTTTACATTTACTTTTTTTATAGAAATTGAAGGTAGTTGTATGTAGCCTGTATGAGGGAAAACATCATCTAGCCAAAGATCAGCGTGATGAAATATCTTCACTGCTGTTCAGAATAATGAACATTACTTGTTTGATTTAAGTTGTGAAATGTGGGAATGCTGTTGTAATTGTTTTTCTCTGTACCTGAGGAAAGATCAATGCAATGTATGTTATTATTAGTCTAGTTTGCTGTATTTGTTACTGTTGTTTAGACCATTTGAAAATATACTTTTACTATGTTGGATAGGTAAAAGCCTGAAAAGTATTTGTTCAAATAAAAGCATCCATCCTGTGCAATAAATTTGTTTCCTATATACTGCATTAGCATTTAGTCCTTAAAAGGACGTATTGAAACTTTAAAAATGCAATATTTATCTATTATCCTCATATTTTCATAAAGCCTGTTTATTCCTTACAGCTCTTAAGTAGTTTCCTATCCAAGTACCTGTAGCTGTCTGTCACGTGCGATATGTTAATAGTACAATATTTAATAAAATTAATTTTCTCTTCTCTGTTGTGTTCCAGGTAAGATGGTCCCACTTTATATTAAGTGTCTTTAACTACTATGTACTAAAATTCGAATTAATAATTTGATACAGAGCACATGCTTTTACATTGTACTTTCATTAAAAAAACCTGTTTTGCAAAACAGCAACACTATAAGTACATAGTACCTACCATTTTCTTACAAAAGTACATAGTAGCTAAAGACACCTAAAAATGTGCCTTGTAAGATTATAACGAGGTATCTATATCAATGTATATCTATATGTCCCACATTAATCCCCATTAAGAAGGTAGAGAGTTATAAAAGCCACTCTACTCTCCAACAGGGGGAACTAAAACCCACACAATCTCACAGTAGTAGAGTACATCTGTTGTCTTTATTCAAGTATATGTACACTATACCATACGATAATATAAGTAACACCAAAAACACGGCAGTAAATGCAGCTTAGCCAGCGCAGCGGCAGCCTGAGAAAGTGGAAGATACACGAGTCCAGTGCGAAATTCAGGATACACAGAAACAAAATACACAACATTAATGAACACAAGTGGTAGAAGACAGAGACGGACAGTAGAAATGCAACAACAATAACCACAAAAATAAATATGTCAGGGTTATACAGGTCACAGCAGTCCCTGCTACTACACGCATGGTTTGTCCTAAATTTTATAATATTTTTGATGCTATATTGCCTTTCGTTAAATTTAAATTGAACCTTTTAAAGACTATGCAATTGCATATGGATTTTAGCATTAAAATCATCTAATTTCAGGGAGTGCCACGTCAGTAACCCCATTCTCAAAAAACTGATCAACAGTCAAAAAAACACATATAATCACATATAAACAGTCTGAAAATGAATTTCAAACATGTGAAGGGCACATTTAGTCCCACTAGTGTGTAGCAAAGCTCAAATTAGTGACATAACGCAACTGGATCCTCTATCTATAAAAATGCAAATGATATAGGCCTATTTATTCATTTAAACTCCGTAAAGACAACTAAAACACACAAGCCGAGTGGATATTCCAGCTTTAGTCAGTAAAACATCGGATGTGAGATCAAATCCACTCAACACACAGCAGCTACCCTATTGCACATGGTCACAATGCAGAGAATTAACATGCGTTTTACAGAGAAAACACACTTATCCACACACACACACTCAACTGCATCAGGCAGTAATATAATATATTACACCAATAAAAAGGTTATAGTGAAAGAGTTACATGAATACAGAAGACGTAGAAACAAAGTCAAGGCGGCCAGTTGAGCAGTGCACTATATTAACACAAGTCCTTGACATTATACACTGATATATATTGACCACAGTATTAAAAAGTATGCATTTAGTAATATCATGACTGACATTTGACCTTAAAGAGTTCAAACTGTTCTGTCGTCATACACAAAAATCAACAACTTCCACATTCATTAGTACCTGCCCGAGGCACTCACAAGGCACGCCTGCTTTCAAACAGGTACTGTAGTTAAACATCTGGGGACAGAATTTATATTCCAGTGCATTTTTATCTGGAGTAACTCCATGTGAGATAACATACTGTTGCTTTTACCTCACAAATAACAGAAAGATAAAGGCTTCCTGCTGTTATTGTTCATGAAAACCTTCAATATTCAGGTGGTGTAAGAAGTGAAGCAAAGCCGACATTTAAATCAACCGAAAGCATCTATAAACCAAATGCGATCGATAAAACTGAGGTAAACAACTAAATTTAGTTTCGTAACAGTTAATGGGTTGATAAGTGTAACATTATCCTATGAGATCGTTCAAAGTGCAGAGTTACTTTGCATACTGAATCTGTTCTTTCAGTCCTGAGATTTAATCCACATTCTTATTCAACCATGGCAGCGTAAACCATCTAAAATCTTTTTCTTTTTACTACGAGGGAGGATTTTTCATTTTCCTTGTGTTATAGAACCCATTAGAGAAATAAGGCCTGTCCCTCCAACTTCTTAAAAGCAATAAAAAAATGTGCATCATTGAACCATCACTCATGTAAACATGGACCTTCATTAACACGGTGCAGTTCTCACTTTATCTAGGGAATATGAGCATCATCATGGTCCTCTGGTGTAACTCAAGGTATTCAACATTAATCTAGTCAATGGCAGAATATTAAGTTGCAAAGAGGGAAAAATGGGACAATTTTGTCTATAAACAGTCAAATATGCACACCTGTTACTCAAGTCACTATAATCAACAATAAAAACGGTCCTATAGTTGTTGGTTTCAAAAAGCATCAACGTACATCTCGAAATAAAACAGAAAAATCCAATGAAAGCAGAAAAAAGTGTCTAGTCTCAACCTGAGTCCCAATAGCATTATTGATTTTTTCTTGGATTTCTTTTCATCTTTGCAGAACACGATTTCAAATTTGTTGCGCACTTTGGTTCTGGTTGAGATTTTTTTTTTTACATAATTTCTACAGCTAACTTGCCAGAAATTAAACATATACAAAGACTCGAGAGCAAAAGTAACCTCCAGAGAAGGTAGTCCTGTCTGAACACAGCTCACGTCAGCCCGATGATGAGACCTCGTAGTACCTCTCTTCATCGGGACATCCAACAGCAGACCGTCAATGCGCCAGGTCAGTGTGACTGGAACTCAGGTCCCGCGTCTTCCTTAGACGATTATTTCGGTCCTGTAAGATACAAAAAACTGAGCTCAGGAGATCCTGAAGGAAGTAAACGAAAGGCCGCTCAGTGCGACTCTATTTTACATTATTTGATCTCATTATCAATTCATACAAACATTTCATTAGTTGACATTTTGTCAGGACACATTGTTGGGTGCAAAAAAGGCCCACAATCATGTTAAACTGTTTAGCTAATACAAGTGTAACATCTTGCAGTCTGGGTGAAAGATTCATTGTCTATGTACATTTATTTATGTAAAACGGCCACCTTGTAAAAAAATCGACGAATAAACAAACAAACCTTTTTTGTATTAAAATCAATGTACAAAAATGGCTGAATTCAGTGTAATTTTAAAGGAAAGATTCTCTGAATGAACAAACATCATTATTACAACTCAGTTCAATGGCATGGTTCTTTCATGACAGGAAATGATGACATACTGTCATGAGAGAACCATGCCATTCTGAATGTAGGATGTCTGGATTCCATTCACAATATATACCAGCTTTAAAGTTTATTCCTCATCAAATGTACTTGGACAGTGTACAATGTCAAACACATACCTGAGGTTTAGTTTACAACTCTGTAAACAATGATTTGCTTCTTGCTAATGCTAGCTGGTACAAGGTGGTGTTAGGAGAAGGGTCATTCACATTCTAAAAAAGCATTTGATTGGACAAAAATCTGGACACGACCATCAATACAAATTGACACATTATTTTTCTGAATCATTTTAATCTATTCCAAAATGTAATAAAACCTTTAAGAGTATGTTAGCATGTAGCTAGCTGAAAAGCTAACGTAGACTAAAACAAAAACTACATTTTCATTTCATTTCACTCCTTAAAGACTGTATAGAGTCAAAGAACTGGAAAATGAAACCCAAAAGAAGGGCAATGTGAAATACTACTGTTAAATTGTCTATGAATCTCTTTCGATATTATAAATACACTGAACAATGCATTAGCCGGATTGTTTCCTACAAGTGTTTATTTTATAACCCAAGACCATCAGTGGTTATTAGGGATTTTAGCAAACACAATCAGATGTGTTAGTCTGTGACCGCTGAGATCTCACACGTACAGTTAATTAATGTGTGTTAATATGGTAATGAAAGAGCTGTGGGTGTGTTGATAATAGAAGCTCCCATCCAACAGTACGAGACTGAAAGACAGTAAAGTGCAAGACAGATCGGCCAGAAAAAAGATACAAATAAAGTGTCAGGAGAGAGAAAGAGCAGAAAAGAAAGATGTCGTCTTACTTTGAGTTCTCCCACAGGAATATCCGGCTGGTTGAGAACTCCAAGAGAGCTGGCCCTCTTCATGCTGCATCCGAGAGAGCCACATGCAAGCACGTCAGTGAGGTCAAAGGGCAGGTGTGAGCGGTCACGGAGGGATGGGAATGTGTGGGTTAAAACATGTAAAAGCAATCACTCAATGATGTTACTTTATTACTATGTGGACTAAGATACAAACACCACAGTGGAAAGACATGCAGTGACATACTGGCCATGTACACACTGCAGATAAATTAGTGCTTAATCCTGTTTTGTACACACTGTTCAGTAATTTACGGGAGTGACAACGACTTTCTACAACTAAATTAACGAATTGATAATGAATCTGGTGTATAGTACAGGTCAGGGGTGCGTTTCCCGAAATCATCCTTAGCCAACTATGGTCGCAAGTTCCGTCGTTACCAATAGAGTTCAATGGGAATTGCGACCAACTTGCGACCATAGTTGGCTAACGATGCTTTCGGGAAACGCACCCCAGAGCTCTTTAAGATGTTTGTTCATTATTATTGTAATATCATGTGCTTTGAGACATATGTAGTTTAACATGTCTCTTGTCTCTTTGCAGTCTCTGCTTTGGTAGGAGGCGGGGCTTTGGAGAGGCTTTGAAGGGAGGGTGGGATCTCATGCTTTTAAAGCTAACTTGCTATTGCTAACTGCTCTGAAAATTGCCTACCCTACCTTTAATCAAAAATAGTGTATACCAAACACTCGAGACGCCAGAATGTTGCTGTGGTTATCACGTCAATCATCAGAATTTCACGAGCGAGTCTGTTACACACACAAAACGATAATTTTGGGGATTCACGCCAGTATTTAATTGTCAATCCTATAACTTTAGTGTGTACATGGCCACTGTGTTACGTTAGTCATCTGTTTTTTGACACTTCTCTCATTAATCACAGAGAAATCTCTTATTTTTGTTAAATGTAATATTACTGCTGGGTTATTTCAGTTGAGATATTATTATAAGTCTGTATTTTCTCACCCTCATGTTTTTGTTCAAGCCTGTACGCTTCTATTTTTTATATTCAATTTTATAAATGGTGAATACAAGCGTTACAAGTCTGACATTGGTGCCTTGTGTTTTCGCATATATTGTAACTGAATACGACACACCAGTTTAAATTTGAAAATTATATTTTTGAGCGCTGCAAAAAATGAGAAAGACTTAAATAAATAAATAAATTTCAGTACATTTTTTCACACAAAACTTGTATGAATTTCAGATAATTGCAACGAGTCATTTGGACTATTTTTTGATTATTTTTTTGATGTTTGGTGTTAAGAAAATACTAGTCAGGTTTGGAAAGATATGAGGGTGAGTATATCGTGACAAAATGTTCATTCCAGAGTAAAAAGGGTGATTTCTTTAAGACACATTGCACAAAATTAAATACACTAAACAAACAGGCACCAAAAATGAGCTGCAATGGACCCTTTTCACACTTCTGGATTTCTCCGTAGCGGAAGTCGAACTTCTATAATAATGAATTTAAATACAAGAATATTATAGCATTCAAATTTGCCGTCACTCCCTCAGCCTCACACAGCACTATTTACTAGCTTTCTGTAATTTAATGCTAAAAGTATAGTATTATAAATGTATATTAAATTTAAAATATACATTTTAAAAAAATTATTTACAATGTTAAGTGTGTAAACGCATCATCACAGTCTATGAAAAGGGTCCATTGTACAACAGTAAAAAGAAGTAGTTTGCCAAGGAGTTGGTAGACAAAGACAAGATAATGAAGAAAGGTAAAAAAAAAAAATTGGATAACACCGCAAGTGGGACCAAAAGACAGAAAATGGAGGAAACAGGCATGCAGCAGACAGCAAATTTGCATGGAAATGTTTATTCAATTAAACAAATGTACAACACAGCACAGAGTAATAAAAGTCCTCAAATTAAAAAAATAAAATAAAAACAGATCCAAGCAGACACAAAAAGGCCTCAAGAAAATCACCAGGCAAAAAAGGCATAAAAGATGAACAAAGTAATCATAACACACGCCAGAAAATAGATAAATAAAATGCAAAGAATAAATAAAAAAAAAATGGCATTTTACAGGGTAAAGAGAGAAAGTTAGTCACATCTGGCAAATCAGATGCTACAGGAACCCCAGTGAGCCGTCCTGAACACACTGCATCATAATGTCCTCCGTCCGTCACGTTAGATGTCAATATGTCATTCAGGGTTAAGCAGGTTTATTCATGTGCAAAAAAATACAGCCTAGTTAATAAAGCAAGCAAACCCCTTCATCCACTTAAAAATGGGCAGTGAAAGAGAAAGACCTATATACCGGTAGAGGACTTTCCTTCATTATAACGTTACCACAGTGTGCAAAAAATCACCTGCCTTCCTCACATTAAAGAGATAATTCGATAAAACCGATCCCATAAACCCTCTTAAAAGCAATTTTGTTTTGGTGTCATCCAGTGTTTAGAGTTTTTCAGTTTGGAACATTCACTTCAATTCACTTCTTGCTTTCTATATTTACAGTCTATGGCTCCCAATGACATTTAAATTATCTTTAAAATGTCTAGTGGCATTTCAGACAGAGATACAGATTGTAATTCTGTCCCAGTGGGATCCTAAACTGCTCAAGATCTACTTCACTGCAGAGTTTAGTTTAAACTCTATTTGAATCATTTTAACAATGTCTTCCCAAAAGTGTGAGCATTCTCCTGTCTCAGTTTTCAAACCATATGGCCATTCAAGTTGCTATTCCAGTGTATGGTCATGATGTCATGTTCGCCTACCCATTGTTGAGTCCGTAGTGGGAAGGTTTGGGATTTTGGAAAGGGGAGGTATGGTCTGAAAATAGGGATGGATGTGGTGATAGTTACCCAGGATTTTTGGGTTCGTTTTCTCGTAAGCCGCCTCCTTTGAGCTTGCGGACCAGTTTCTCGCTGCTGCGTCGGATAGAGGCCCGCAGTTTACTAAAGGAACCGCTGCGCTTCAACGAGCCCGAGCCATCCTGCCAAAAGAGACGCTGCAGCGTTAAAACCACACAGACTTACGTTATATACTGCACATTAGTGAAAGAGGCCACTGACACAAGCTCATCCTCAAACACACTCAAGCACAATGATCACTTACCTGGATCTGGAAATATGGTCCTCGGTTATGTTGGTTTAAAAGGGATAGTTCAGTCGAAAAAGAAAATTCTGTTATAAATGACTCACCCTCATGTCATTCCAAGTCATTTAGTTATATGACAAACAATATAAAGAAATCATGTCCATTCATATGGATTTCCTTTATGTCTTTATGAACTTATTAAAGCTTTGAGCGTTCAATTGAATGGACAAAAACTATGAGAATATTAAAACATCCTCATTTATGTCCTAAAGATGAACAAATGTCTTTCTCAGTTTGGACTGATATAAGGGTGAGCAAATTTCATGACAATTTTCATTTTTGGGTGAACTAACCTAAACACTAGAACTAAAAATATGACCATATTTGAATTATTAAGCTTTCATAACAAATTTGCTGGTCAGGTTGTATATATATATATATATATATATATATATATATATATATATATATATATATATATATATATATATATGAAGAGTTCACATGCAAAAGCCTCTAAATGCCATTTGAAATTTTCTTCTTTAATGATGATTTTTGTCAAACTTGTATATTTAAGTTTAGTAATTTCACTTAAATAACAATTAATAGGTAATTATCATTGCCATTTAAGTGAAATCACTGAACTTAAATATACAAGCTTGATAAAAATCATCATTAAAGAAGAAAATTTCAAATGGCATTTAGAGGCTTTTGCATGTGAACTCTTCATATATATATATATATATATATATAATGTATATAATATATACTGTATATGTATATATAAATATATATTACTTTATATCCACTGATCAATGCTTAAGTGTGAATAAAAGCATGAATTCAATCTGTTCATCATATAAAGCAATCAAGTCCCTTCAGAAAATTTGGACTAAACTGTTGAATTCATATGGATTAGTTTTACGATCTCTTTATGACATTTTTGAAGCATTAAAGTGGTAGTTACATAGCTGTCAATGGAGGGACAAAAAGCTCTCATATTTTATTTAAAAATATCTTCATTTGTGTTCTGAAAATGAACAAAATTCTTACGGGTTTGGAACGACATTAGGTCATTTTGAGTGAACTAACCCTTTAAACGAAAACTTGTGTCTAAATCTCTTAGTTATGGCTTAAACATGACCAGAGTTAAATTTCATTTAAACTTTTCAGAAAGAATAATCTAAATTAGAATAATAATTCTCACACTCTACTCTAGTAATAAAGAATATTTACTATTATTTATAAATGACTCTCCATTACTTTTTCCAGAGTGCTAGATAAGAATGATTAAACATTACGAAATAATTATTGAACCGTATACTGCACTCATAAAACAGTAATTTCTAGCTAATGAAACATTTTAGAGCTGAGCATTACTAGTAAGATCACTATAGCAATTAAAAAAATAATTTTAAGTTCCCAGGTTTGAAATCTTCCCATGAACCCTGTAATATTCTGCAGGTCCCAATACAGTTCGTCCTCCGATCTTTACCACAATCTGCTCTGCTGCAGTCTCTTCTGCTGCGACCCCTCACCTTTGACCCCCTGAACAGGGGCTTGGAAGGGGGTGATGGAGGTGGAAAGGGGAGGAGAAGAAACACTGAGCCAGAAAAATCAAGACCACCACCTCCATTTAAAAAGACAAGCAGTTACAGCAATCAGCCACAACACATCCAACTCACACACACACCGACATCAGGTTTAAACGTTTCACCGGAAAAACACACATATGCTTTCAAGAACAGATAAAGAGAAGGAGAACACAAGCAGAGGCTGTGGTCAGCAAAGTCAGTTTTATTTAGTTATGAAAGACACAAGATGCAGCAACACACCAAAGAACATGTTAGTAGAAGAAAGAAAACAAGAGCATCAGATTCTACAGACATGCTTCTATTCGTCCCATCTAATCCTTCCCATTTGCCCATCTCCCTTTTCTAGTGATCTACTATATACAATGGTCTCTGAATCATGAACAATATGAAATGGTTAGAAAAAGTGTGTGAAAAACAAGATTTGCTGGTCTATACAAATGCTGAACAACACAACCATGCCACATTAATGCACTGTACAGGAAATGTGTGTGAGAGAGATAGCATTACAGGGCTCACTTTCGGACACAGCAGATTCAAAGTTCAAATGGCTCCCAGCACTACAAGACATTGACGGGAACCAATGAGTGTCACAGGCCTTGCAGCTTAAATCAATGTTAGCGTCAATAAGAGAGAAGCTCTATTTATAGCATTTCTGGCATAATGGTGATTAGAAAATTTCAAATTTCGACTCATCCCTCCCCCTATTTATTCACTTATCTTAATATATAATTTTAAAGGATTTCATTTGCTTTTTTTGCTTCAGCACTGCCCTGAACAATCAATTACACATAATGGAAATGGAAATGTTTCCATATTTCACAAGACAAAATAATAGCTAAATAAAAATTAATTTAAATTTTTTTTTATAAATTATATATATATATATATATATAAATATGGTTTCAAAAGTATGACCACATGTCTAAAGATCTACACAATTATACTAAATCAAATTGAATTTATTTTAAACTTTTAGGAAGCTTGACAAATTACTGTTATTATAAGTATGATTTTTACTGTTTTTTTTTTTTTGAGAAATGCAAGTTATTTTATATTAACAATATGCCAAAAATGCTTTTGAGTTTAACTTATTATTGCACGCAGAATATTGTTTTTATGGATGATGTATGTCAAATGAACAGCATAGACATTAATTAGAGTAGAGTTGGTTTTAATTGGTCAAATCGATTAATCTAACAAAAGTTTGTTTATATATACACATATTATATAAACAAACTTGTATGTAATAGGTCAGCCCTATATTAAATATGATTTCTACTCTAAGGTCTCTTTACACAGCTCTTTTATACAGACTTGTAAAAGAGTGCAAGTCAACTATTTTTGACAGATATGGTCACTCATTATGAACAAAAATTCCCTTTGTGTTCAATGGAAAACATAACAGCAAATAGATTCAGAGGGTGAGTAAATAATGACAGAATTTTCATTCTTGAGTGAACTATTGCTTAAACACCAAAGCAGCGATATCAAGATGACAAATCCAATCAGTGTTAAAGGGATACTCCACTTTTTTGGGAAATAGGCTAATTTTACAACTCCCCCAGAGTTAAACAGTTGAGTTTTACCACTATCGAATCCATTCAGCCGATTTTCTGATATTTAGAAGAATATCAGTAACCAGACAGTTTCTGGTCCCATTGACTTCCATAGTATATATTTTTTCCTACTATTGAAGTCAATGGGACCAGAAACTGTGAAAACTGCAGGAAAAAAATAGCCTATTTCCAAAAAAAGTGGAGTATCCCTTTAAAAAAGGTCCCTCTGGAGCAGGGGTGTCCAATCCTGCTACTGGCGATCGACTGTCCTGCACAGTTCATCTCCAACCCTAATCAAACACACCTGAATGTGATCCTAAAGACCTTAATTGGCTACTTCAGGTGTGTTTGATTAGGGTTTGAGATGAACTGTGCAGGACAGTCGATCGCCAGGAGCAGGATTGGGCACCCCTGCTCTGGAGTATTTGATCAGGAAAACAGAGTCTTTACTAAGAGAGAGATTTATACAGCAGGAGACTCTGAGATGGAGCTCTAAAGGAAGGTAATTAGAGACATAGACATAGTGGCAGACAAACAGTTAAAGAGACTGATGGACAAGAAGAGACCTCTCTACAGACACATTACAGACTGACAGATTATTATAGTGCTGTAAGATAGAAGAGAGACTTAGTTCAGCTTTGACAAGAAGGAAAGGCCAAGGAACTTGGCCAGGTCGGGTCTGGTTTAGCCCACTTATGCCCACAGGAGGAGGAGGAGGAGAAGGAAAGGTGCCGTTCGGAGAGAGGAGACGAAAAACATCAAAGCTGGAGAGGGGGGGATGAGGAGGGCATCCATCATGCAGAAGGTAAGTTCAACAACCACAACAAGGCACCTGGAGTTACACCTGCCAACCACACGAGAAAGAAAGAGAGAGAGAGAGCAATGCAAGAGGAGGCAGAATAAGTACACAAGGAGAAGAGAGAGGTTATAGAGAAAGAGGAACAGAGACAAAATGTTATATTATTAGGGAGACTGAAATTGAAAGTGCAGACAATGAAAAGAGACAGATGTGAAAAGCAAGAGATACAGAAGGTGAAACACAAAATGTTAAAATGGCAGTAAGGCCTGGAACATACTGTACACAAGCAAATGCTCAAATTGTGCCAGTGTAACCCCTCCGGTTCTACTCGCCCCAGTTCGACTCGCTTGCCTCCGTTACACTGACCCATCCGGGTCACGGCACCAACGTAACCCCTCTGGTTCTACTTGCACCGCTCCAAGCAATCAGCATTTACTGCATGATAAGCAGGAGCGCTAACAAGGGCGCTAAAAGACCACAGCATCTAGCGTCAGTTGCTAGTGCGCCTCTTGAGGCCTTGAGGTTAACTCGCACTCGCTGGCCTCCATTACGCCAGTACACACTTCTCTTCTCTCTGCATTCTCAGAGATGCCACAAGGGGCGCTATAGCATTAGAGCAAACTTTTTTGAGTCATTTCAAATCAGCTGCTGTCATGAGCTGCTGAGTAGTTTAATATGAGCAAATACTTCTCGAAAAAAATCAAAAAATTCAGCAATTCCAACAGAGTTCTGCAGGAATTAGTCTTAAAGGGGTTCTGTTGTGATTATATACTGGTTCATAATTTGTTTATGGGGTCTTTTAGAAACACGTTTACATCATAGTCAAAAAACACCAACATGAGCTGGAATGACAAAAAAAAAAAAACGGCGTCTCTTGGACATGTCGACAACACACTACTAATGCAACTCAACCAGGCCTTGTGCTTTTTTGTTTGTATGCCTTGGGTGGGAATTTTGTAAATGAAAACAAAAGGCTACAATCAAGGGCATTTCAGGGAGTTCAGAGACAGTGCACACTGATATAGAGTACTCCCTTTTGGAGTGGACTTTGGTGCTTTGTAAATTTGCAGACATTTTTCATGATCAAACAGCAACATTACAAACAAAAAAATAAAAAAAAAAAGTAAAAAATCATATTGGGACTCATTTAAAACCCAGAAATGAGGTAGCATTTTTGCACTCACGGTTGAGGAAGTCCTAAAGTTAATGGGTTTTTTAATGGGTTCTAGGTTAAATGTCTGAAATAATGTTTAACTGTGTTTAATTCTATGACATAAAATCTGCTTTTACAGCCTTGTTGTGTTTATGTTGTTGGAAGCTTAGTGGTGGTGACGTTGAAGTATTTAAAGTCAGTCTTTTGTTTTTACTTCTGGTTAAAAAAAAAATCATAAAAGTTTTGTTCATTTATGAAGACTGTCTTGATGGACAATGTGTTCGAATCATAAACTTTGGTTTCACCATAGAGCATATTTTCATCACTAATCCAAAAGCCAATGGAAAAATACCCTATTGCGTTTTGTGGCGGATCAAGAGTGATGTTAACATCTGATTCTAACAAATCAGGATCAAATCATTAATGTATTTGCCAGGTTTTTAGCATCGGTCAATATACAAATATCATTACTATCACAGAAACGTGATGTTTTGCAATTTTCTGCATATGTGTTAAGTTAAGTTAAGAGGGAACACGCAAGTGGATTGTACTAATAATATACTCCTCAAAAGAACAACAGCAACTCCCAGGGGCATAAACAAAAGCAAATGAAATCTGGAACAAAACAAAGAACACAAATATTGTGCCACTGTGATCACACATGGGATCATGTGCTTGTTAAATTCAGCATAGTAGTCTTGTTTAGAGGCCACAGGCACCTTTCCATGACTCTATTGTTACAACCCTGAGCAAGGTCTAAAAATGGCACACTATCAACCCTGAGGTCCTATTGATTTGTGCAAGCTGATACATTATGGACCTCATATTTTCCTGGGAGAGGGATATGAATAGATGAGGACAATAACACAAAATGGACTGGCAAGCAAGAGGATACTTTAAGTGTGCAAACAAACACACATTCACAAATAGGATTAGAGAGCATGCATTCAATAAGACCAATCAGAAAAACACACCAGGAGTACAGAACACACAGCCCACGCCAACATGTACGTGAATGTAAGACCTTGCTGACTTTATGCTACGTGAGTGCCTGTGTGTGTAAGAAAAACAAAAGCATGTTTGAGAAAGATTTACAATATAACAGTACAGTATATACTAGTGAAGTACTGAGCCGTGTGCGCGAGAGAAAGAGACAAGGACATAAGCAAGAAAGACAGGGAAGGGAAATTCAGGTGAATGAGATCACAGGCAAACCAGCTCGATGAATCTGATGGGAGCCTCCCACAATCTGAATTGGAGGGTGGGGTCTCGGCATGGGGGATGCTGATTGGTTGTCTTGGAGCTATGGTTACTGTTGCTACGGCAGCTTAAAAGTTGTGACTCAGAATTGCAGAGAGACTACAGCAGAGGTGTGATGATCAAAACAGCAGCTATGAAACATCTGACTTACAAGCAGTTCATATTCATCTAATGCTAAGCTACAGAGAGGAAGTTAATGAATGAATGATTTCCGTTTAGATTAATGATGATTTGGTTCATTCATTAAACTTGTGAAACATTTTTCAATTCATTGTGTCTGGCATTTAAGAAATTCTGTCAATTTAAGGATTGAGTGTGTTTAAAAGACAAGCTGTGATTTAAACTGCAAATGCATGAGATTTATTTCAATAATGCAACTCACCTGCTTAGCAATTATTTTAGAAACCGCAGGTATATCAATAATTAAAGTGTTTACTATCGTTTAAAGACATGTTTTTTTCTTTTATATACGTATATTTTATAAAATACAATAAAAGACGAAAATAATAACTTAACGGAATCAAACATTAATACTCTTGAATATATCAAATGTGTATGAATACACTACCACTTAAATGTCTGGACAACTCCTATAAAAATAATAATGTTATTATTAATATTAAAATATATTACATGTACTACTATTATCAAAATAATTGTATAAAATTGAATCATAATTTTATACATTTTTTTACAATTTTTTACAACTTCAAAAAGTTCATGTTTAAATCAATCAGAAATTCAGTCAAGTGAGTCCAAACATTTGACTGGTAGTGTATCACGTATAAAAAATGTGTGCAAAATATAAACAGTATGTAAAAAACATTCTCTGCAGTCAATGAATATAATTAGAGTTAATTCATGGTTGAAAGGGTTAATAGGGTTTCAAGTCAGGCACCTACAGTATAAAGCACTACAGGCAAATACATTTGACACTCAATCAGCAAGAGGAATATGACTACAATGATGTATGGAGTCAGAAAGTATAAAGAGTAACTCCAATATAACACAATTTGAGCCCCAGAAACAGGCCTGCAAATTCCACACGCTTCTCTTTGAGAGCAGTAATGCTGAACTGACTGAGGTTACTTTCATACTTCTGATTCTAAACTCAATACAAGCCACTGTAATTATATAATTAGCTTTATCTGGTTTCAGTGATTCATGTTTCTCTTAAACAGAGCTTGGTCAATGCACTGGCACACATCCCAATGCATTATTCATCATGTGATTCAGTCTGGATGTGAGGTGGGGTGAATGTATGCGGGAATTATTGTGTCTTGTCAGGTCAGAATTACATGCCGCCCTACATCACTATGCTCTCACTGAATATTTATGCCTGCCAGGACTCAGAGACCCATGAGATGTTGTTGTGTGTGTGTGGGCTTGGGCGGTGTGTACTGTACTTACCCCGTTCCACTCCACGCTCATACTCACTTCCTCTCCTCCGTCAGGGCCGCTTTCGTATTTCACCGTGTCAGAGGTCAGGCTCTCACGGCTCCGCTGCTTCTCTCGTACTTCAGGGTCTCCCAGCACCTCCGCCACACGCTGCTTATGTGCCGTGTCCAGACCCTGGAGGAAGACAGACGACACAAAATTAACAAATATGGTCTGATCAAAACAATCATATTTTTATGAGCTTTGACCAACAAATCTATCAACCCATTTATAGTGACTTTGTATTCTAGAAAAACTTATGGTTCTTTTTTTTTTTTTGGTCCTTTTTAGAGGTTGTCATTGTCAATATAAATCAATGCAGTTTGAACATTCTTTAACTAAATTATCTTATATATTTCATAAATGTAATTTTTTATTTACTTATTTATTTGGATATCTTATAATAAGTAATGAAAAAATAAAAATATAAAAAATATATAAACATAAAAAATTATATATATATATATATATATTAGGGCTGTCAAACGATTAATCGCGATTAATCGCATCCAAAATAAAAGTTTGTATTTACATAATATATGTGGGTGCACTGTGTATAATTATTTTGTATATAAATATATACACACACATGCAAGTATATTTAAGAAAAAATATTATTTATATATAAAATATTTATATATAATAAAAATTATATATAAATCTATATACAACATATACATGAAAATATTTCTTAAATATATACAAGCATGTGTGTGTATTTATATATATAAAATAATTATACACAGTGCACCCACATTATAATATGGTTTGTTGAAAATACGCATAAAACCCAACCTTTGTTCAATGCGAGTAACGTATGCTCTAATATGACCAAGCTAAACCTTTATAAGACCTTTTGAACCCTGAGTGGCAGGTGGACCGTTTGTATTTCACCAACAGACCACCCACACACACACACACACACACACCTGTTTTCTGGAGCGCAAAGCCGCCTCCTCCAGGGTCTCTGCAGCCTCAAACTTGCCCTGTCTCTTGTAGAGAGCGCCAAGATTCTTCAGTGTGGTCGTCACAGTGGGGCTGCAGAAGTCAGACAGGAAAACATTACATTGTGATGCTGCAGAAGTAAGACTGTGAAATCCCAAGGCTAAACAAATTGTGTATACTTGTATCAATGCATGCAGCAGATGAGGGAATATCTGACCTGTCTACTTTACAGGCCTTGTACCAGCCACCATATTCTCCAAAAGGAGAGCCATCCTTCTGCTTGCCCTGAAACACAGAAAGCGTTTAGAAACAAGCTCTCAAAAACACTGAAAGTACCATCTGGACAGAGCTGATATTCAACATTAAAGCATACTGTAGTATAAACATTACTCTCGTCCTGTGACCCTTGACCTGTTCTCACCTTGCTCTGTTCTTCTCTCTCCTCGGCATGCATCCAGATGGGTTTATTTTCATCTGCAGGGGGAAACAAAGGACATAAAAACAACATCACTGTAAGCCCAAACACACAGACACACACACACACACACATGCCTCTAGCTATTAAGTATATAATGAGTGATGGTGTTTCTAGTGCCTGAGGTGACTAGTGAGCTCACTGACAGAAACAGTGTGTGCTTTGAGCTTACAAATGAGCTCTTGGTTAGAGCTTCAGAATTAATCAACATGTCTTCCTGCCAGTGTGTGTGAGAGAGAAAGAGCATGTAAGAGAAGTAAAGACGATGCATAAACTGTTAAGTGCATAAACCACCAAGACTAGTCTTACAAGTTAGCCATTACATTTTTTTGCTTTAAAACTGCTACCAAAAAGTAAGACTAACTGCCCCTTGACTCGGTCATACTAGTTAAACATAATGGCTATGTTTATGCAATTGGACCCGGAACTAGAGTAACAAAGATGATTGAAAGTGAGTGTGCAACTGTGCATGTGACTCCAAATGTGTGCAATCATTAGGACTGGATGATATCAATATTATCTTGATATAGACACTGACATTAATCAATACATCTCACAGCAACATTTACACACAATTCACATTAAAATATTTTAATGCATCCAACTGTTTCTTGAGGTCAATAAGTAAGGATGCATTAAATTGATCAAAAGTGACGGTAAAAAAAAAATATATAATCTTACAAAATACCTGTCAAATAAATTTGCTAAATATAAATATTGCCATTTTCACAAAGAGGATTCATTTTATATCGCCAGGAAAATCATAACAAATATATGAAGAGTTCAGATGCAAAAGCCTCTAAGTGCCATTTGAAATTTTATTCTAAAATGATCATTTTTATCAAGCTTATTTATTCAAGTTCAGTAATTTCACTTAAATGGTAATTCATAGGTAATCTTCATTGTCATTTAAGTGAAATTACTGAACTTAAATATATAAGCTTGATAAAAATTATCATTTTAGAAGAAAAATTCAAATGGCACTTAGAGGCTTTTGCATCTGAACTCTTCATATAATGAATAAATAACATATCCTTCAGCCCTAAGGAGCATGTTGAGCTTCACTTTGAATTCTGCATAATTACAGTCTGGTAAGCTGTGTCGCTGTTGCTGACTGTATAAAACATGCTTGTGAGGTTTATTTTTAAGTAGAATAGTGTCGAGCAAATTTTAATATTCCGTAGAGAACAATGCAAAAAGATATTCTGGGTCAGAAAAAAACACACATACCATCTACAGAGCCAAATTCTCTCTCATGGGCTCTGGTCAGGATCTCCTTATATAGAGTCTCGGCCTGCTTAAATTTCCCCTGTTTCAGGTAGCATGAAGCCTGAGAAAGAGAGAGAAATGGGTCAGTAACAGGGATGTACTAATCTGTATCAATTTTATAGATTACATTTGACCAAGTATATTTATTGACTATATAAAAAAGTTTAGTACTATAAATACACTCATTTATTTAACGTTTATCTAACGTTAACTTAGATAAACATGCACTATCATTTGGCGCATATGCAAGTGTTTGTGCGGAGTGTGGAAGCTAAAGTGAAATCACTTGCATTCCTGACAACAGCGGAAATAACTTAAAATATTATTTTCGGTCACACGGATAAAAGTAATACATCTTTCGAAACTGTAAAAAAAAATAAAACAACTTACAATAAAACGTTGTGATTTTGTAAAATAAACGTGCTTTCTGCCATCTCTGTCTCCATGAACTTGAGCACGTCACAAAAATGAACCTCAACTCAAAACCTTTGCATTCCACTAAAAAACTTTGCGTGTTCTTTGAGAGGGAACGCAAAATTTAACGATTTAATGAAAATGCAAAAACACTGACTTATCATTTTTCCTCCTCGTATCAGTATCTCATATTTTTTTCCTCCACCATGTCCCTTTGCGGGCTCCGTAGCTTAAAGATGTTTCAGTCTGAGCACGACTATCCACTCTAAAACCTTCATCCATTAAACTGATTGCTGAATGAGCCATATCTCATGTGTATAATTTGCTGAGACTACAGAAATCCTGCAGTATAAACACTGCAGACACCACACCATATGGATACATTTCTTAATGTTAATTAAACCAGACAGAAGATCATTTCAAAATGAATCAGTGTTATTCTAATAGGATATTTAATTGCAAAGTTAATCCGTTATGCATTTATGACAAATGGAGGTTATGATTTTCTCTAAACATACTCAGAAATGCATAACTCCACAAGTGGAGGTCTGTTTGCTAGTTAAATGAATGGTGAGTGTGAAGTGGGAGTGTGAATTGTGAGTGTGTATACCAGGTTGTTTTTGGTCTTAGCCACATTGGGGTCGTCAGGGCCCAGTTTGGTCTGGTAGATCTCCAGTGCTCTCTGGTAGTAGTACTCCACCTCTTCATACTTGCCTTGGTTCTGACACAGCAAGGCCAGATTATTCAGCTGCTTAGCAACATCGGGGTGGTCCTTCCCCAGCACCTGACACATAAACATAGCTCATGTTATTCAGCTGCCTTATCTGTGTTACTCTGACTGTAGTAGTATACAACCACCTACAGAGAGGGGATGACCTGGTTATTCTTCTTTATGATTACTATGGTTGCTGTTGGAATGGTCCCAATTACCAGTTAAAATAGCCCCGTTTTATAGACGTTTGCACAGAACACATTTGACACCGGGTAGTTCTAGGAACTAGCCACCAGGGTGGTTCCCCAAGAACTAATGGCTCCCTTAGGAACGCTTTCTGAAGTGATGTAAGCCGTGGTGGTTGTTGTGGCTTTTATTTTGACGGCACGGCTAACATTTATTTTGACGGCACTAAGAACGCCAGCCAGAGCCTGATCATACAGTGCTCACATTCTCCGTGTTCATTAGTTTATGATCGGTCTAACAGTCCATTATACGTTATTATAATACGTATATATAATATGTTATTAGATAGAACATAGAAAGTAGACAGTATATGAAAAGGTATTAGCGTATGCCATGTGGTTGATGTCTAGTGTTGCTAGCTGATCAGAAATACAATTATGTTTCGCTTGGTTCCCTCATTGGATTGGATTTTCTGCTTAGCATAAAGGTTAAGAGGCCCATCTATCATTGTTTTCCATGTTTGAATAGTTACGTTTCTGGAGTAAATATATAGACCATTTTACAAGATGTAAACAACACTGGTCCAGAAACACTTCCTGTTTCAGTTTGTAACTGTTTTCTTTATTTCACATGTAAAGAAAACGTCTTAAAGATGTTTAACTTTTTGATTCAGTTTTATATGTTCTGTTGGTTGTATTTTACCCCAGCTTTTATGTAGTGTTAAAAAACTGAAACAGGAAGTGCTTCTGGACCAGTGTTTACATCTTGCAAAATGGTCTATAGGTTCAAATCTGTGTTTACATAGCTTTTTTTTTTTTAAATGGCAGGTGCTGGCGTTTCGCGTGTGTTCAGCCAATCAGCGTACACTAACATCACTGATAATTCCACTGATAATGAAAATATAGTGCTGGTTTTAGACCCTAATCTGAAGTAGGAAATAAATTAGTTCCTCAAAAGGAGTTCCTAAAACTAAAATCGTTCCTAATTCTGCAAACAGGCCAAAATCCGGGTACTTCCACCAATAGTTCTGGGAACTATGAAAAGGGTCCTCTGGTGCGAAAGCCCCTAATTTTTGCAGTCCACTGCGCTGCTTTTCCATTATTTTTCTATGTGAACATGGAAGTGGTTGACATTGTATTCACACTTTTTGCAATGTCTTGCACATGACAAGGGGTTCTAAAATGCGGCACTCAAGTAAAAAGAAGTTCAACTTTCAAACGCATCTGGGGCCATTCACACAGAACGGGTTTCAGTGGTTAACTGCAAAAATGGCAAGTTATAGAAATATACTTCTTTTAAATGGAGTGCTATTAGAATGCAGTGTCAGACATGAGATTCTGCAAAAAATGTGAGACACGAGCGCAACGGTCAAACACGTTTACAAAGAAAAACAATGGAAACGCAGGGCAGTGAAATGCAAAAACACATTCTGTGTGAACAGACCCTTTCTAAAGCTTGCACATTTTTTCCACTGTCACTTTTTCCCCAATGCCCAGTGTCTCACGTTTTTGCATTCCACTGTGCTCCTTTTACACTGTTCAAAATTCATGCTTTCAATATGGGTGTTTGTAATTTTGGGTTTGTTGTAGACCAAAACGACAAAATGTTGTCAAGTTATGTTAAATTACCACAGGCTTTATTTTATACATAAATCGAAACTCCCATAGGAAACTCTCAAAGAAACGTACGGCGAATTAGTCTTGCGGGGTCTGATGTCATACATGCACTACTCTATAGATACCATGTGCTTCAGTTATTCTACCACCCCCTAAAAGGCTTTTATAAAACAGCGGCAATGGCAATACTTTAAAAGAAAAATTATCAATAGCATCTTATAAAACAAACTGATCTAGCATATAAACTATAATATATAAACAATGGATAAACTACATTGTGATATATACCATTATACACTACTATTCAAAACTTTGCTGTCTATAATTTTTTTAAATTTTCTTTTTTTATTTAAAAGTCTCTGATGTTCACCAAGGCTGCATTCATTAGATCAGCAAAAACAGTAATATTGTGAAATGTTATAACAAATATTTTCAGCATCATAACTCCAGTCTTCAGTGTCATTTGATCCTTCAGAAATCATTCTAATATGTTGATTTTCTGCTCAAGAAACATTTCAAATTATCATCAGTGTTGGAAACAGTTGCACTGCTTTTTTTGTGGAAACAATGGTAATTTGTAAAAACAATTTTTTTCAAGATTCTTTGATGAATAGAAAGTTCAAAAGAACAGCATTTATTAGGAATAGAATTCGTTTGTAATATTATAAATGTTTACCGTCACTTTTGATCAATTTAATGCATCCTTGTTGATTAATGTAAGATTTTGGTCATGCCGCAATAGAAAGGAAAATATGAAATGTCTGTAGAAGTTAAGTGATGAGATTTGGAATTCAGCAGGTTGTCTAAGCTCTTTCTCTCAGCTCTGTATGTGTGAGACGCAGCACTCTGAGTAAGACTCAAGACTTGCAGTAAGAGCATTATCACACAGGCTTAGAAGAGGTCTCTCCATAAAGAGATCAAAATAAATCTGTGACGTGGCGGGAGGGAATGGGAATAGAGTGTCTAAGAAGCACAACATTTTCATCTGTGCGGAGGTTGTGCGGCTGCTGCAGGTGTGTTATTCTGCAATGTGGTATTATTGGATAAAGGGAGAAGAAAAAAGTGCGCACAGAGAACTACAGAAGAGCAATATCACATATAAGCTCAAAGTAGAAGAAAATAGTTAAATCCTAAATGGTAAACTGAAACAGCAAATTCATTTCAAAAGGAATAGGAAAAATGTATAAATGTCCTATTCAGTAAGAAAGGTGATGTATATGCATTTCCTGATGTATTGTAAGATCTCAAAAAAAAAAAAAAAAAAAAAAAAAATTGGAGTTTGAAATGACTTGAAAAGTTTTAGCCTTTACAACAAAAAAAAGGAGGAATATTATAGAAATGGATGATTTATTCGATAGTCTTTGAAATACACAGGGATGAATGGAGGAGAGGGATAGAAAGGTGAATGCAAGTAATGTTTTAAGATGCAAAACCGGTAGGGAAAGAATTCAAGATTACATTTACTACGAAGTCATACACATGATTCATTCATTTGACCTCTGACCCACCTTCTCTCGGATCTCCAGAGCCCTTTTACACAGAGGTTCTGCTTCCTTGTACTTCCCTCGTTTGCCATAAAGAACGGCCAGGTTGTTCAGAGTGGCAGCCACCTGCATACACAGGAAAAAAAAAAGATATATTTACATATAGAGAATCATTTCAAACTCATTCAATGATTCAATCAATCAATGATTTTGAATTGGTGCAATCACTTATATACAATTAGTCGTGTCATCTTATGGAAAATGATTACTTGCTGGAAATCCGATCAAGGTCAAATTTTCCTAGTGTGGGTAGACTAACACGCATACACCCTGTGCATTGTGACAGATCAACCTTTGATTAAGATATACTTCAGTGCATGTGAGACACATACGTGTGTGATAGACGGCAAGAGTGACAAGAAAAAGAAAAAGAAAAAGGGAAAGGACAAATTAATTTTTTTGGGCCTTGTGACCATATTAGATATTTATATTATATTCATATCTCCAGATTTACATGTTTATTCTGAAATTTTGTGTTTACAAGGGGTTGCTTTTTCAATCAGAGGAACCCTTATTTAATCAAAAAGCCAAATACTAGATTGAAATGGTTTAATAAAAGCACTAATACCAAGTAAAAAATAAATTAAATAACAAGGCCATGGTTTCTGCAGTTTATTATGAATTAACACCATGAATTATATAATATTTATATGAATATTGCATATGAAACATACAATACTTATAAATACACACACACACACATACATATTTATAAAATGGTTAGTTCCAATCCTTGATTCTGATTCTGATTCTGGTCAATACAGCTGTGCTTTATTCGTGATAAAACACGGCTATGACCGCTTCACCCAACGGTTCTATTTATCACTGCGCAACAACCTTAGCAACCATCCGTATCAACATACACAGAGATGTTCAAATAAACCTAAATAAACAACAATGAAAAAAGTGTATCTCTTGTTAGGCAGCATTATACCAACTAAATTAATAGCATAAAATATTATAAAAATAGGCTACCTATCAAAATATGTGCATTTGTGTTTTAATGTAAATATTTAGTAAGGTTTATTTATAAGTGCAGAGAGAAATGAACGGAATAAACGGAAAGTGCACGTTAATTGTATCATGCTGAGAGATGAGCTCATATTTGTGTGAGGAAATTACATCTGTGATGTAAAAAAAAAAAATGAAACAAAGTTTAAAAACGGTTCCTGTGTTGTTTTTACTTGAGAGCTTTCGTGCATATTACACATTAAAACGTTGTTGCTGTTCACGGTCAGGGACAATTTTTTTCTAGCTGAAGGAAGGCTTTTTAGTGATTTTACTTCATGAAAGTTGCACTAATACATTTTTTTTTTACTTTAATATTTTTATTGTGTGGTAAACGTTTTATAAAAGCAATAAGGAACTCGAGGCAAGTGCCATATTGCTGAGGCTACTCCGCTTCGCCCTAACAACGCCCTTCAGCCTCTCGAACCTTATTGCTTACTTTTATATATATATATGCAAACATTTTTGAGTGAAGTTTTAATATGTTCATTGATACAAAAATATTGAACTGATATTAATTCACAGATATGAATCAAATTGGCCGATTCTAATAGCAAGTTTAAATAGACGAGGAGGGATAGACGAAGAGGGATTGTGAAACCAGTTGGAAAAGTGCATTCAAATCATTATGATATTCACAATGATGTTTAATTTCATAACGCCCAGAAAATCATCATAAATATATTGTGAATATTCAGTATATCAGCCAGTTTTAGGAAACGGCCAGCTACAAGATAGAAACAGAAACAGAAGACAGAAGACAGATCTATAAGAGGTGTTAAAGCATCTAACCTCTGCAGAGAATTGTGGGACGCTGGTCCTGATGAGAGGGCAAGACATGAGCTTCACATGACAGACTCAATAAACTTCAGCAGTCTATGCCGCTTATTTCAATACACACACATAATATAGAGGCACACAGCACAGACAGACTGTAATGTGGAGAGCAGACAGATGACCGGTTCTTACCGCAGGGTGGTCTTTGCCCAGGGTCTTCTCTCTGATGGCCAATGCATCGTTAAGGAGGTTTGCTGCCTCTTTGTATTTATTCTGGTCCCTGGAGAGCAGAAAACACTTTCACGTCAATCTATTGCGACTCGTTGTGCAACAAAGGGCTGTCGCAAAGGTCTCTCTCACAAAAAGCTGTTCCCATGGCAACAGGGTGATGGCACAATAGCCTAATATCCCAACGGCTTGCGAGCCGGATATTACCATCGTTTACAACAATGGAGAAGGAGGTTCTCAGCACATTTGTTTAAAGCACTGGTTGATACCATACTGCGGTTAAAGATTAACATTAAAATTAGAGACTCACTAGGCATTTTTTCCACTTAAAGCACTGCTGCATGTATTTTAATATGAAAAATGAATTACTTTTGAATGACACTTAAGCTTTCAGTTCAAAAGTTTTTTTTTTTACGTTTTAAACTCACCAAGGCTGAGTCTATTTGATCGAAAACACCATAAAAACAGTAATATTGTGAAATGTTATTACAAAATGTTTTCTTTTTTAACATATTTTAAAATGTAATTTATTCCTGTGACGCAAAACTGAATTTCCAGCATCCTTACTCCCGTCTCGTGTCACATGATCCTTCAGAAATCATTCTAATATGCTGATTTGCAGCGCAAGAAACATTTCTTATTATTAACAATGCTGAAAACAGTACTGCTGCTTAATATTTTTGTGTTTTTTCATGATTCTTTGATTAATACAAAATTCAAAAACAGCAACTATTTGAAATTGATTAAACTAATGTATCCTTCCTGAATAAAAGTATGATTTTTTTTTTTTCAAAAAGAAAGTACTGAGCACAAACTTTGGAAAGGTAGTGGACATAAATGAGCAAACTTAAAATTGTACATTTAAGTCTTTTAAGCTGACAGTAAACCAATACATATTTCAGAGCTAAAGCTGTTTGCTGACCTGTAAACGAGGGCGAGAATGTTCAGCATGGTGGCTACATCCGGATGATCGTGTCCAGATGTTTTCTCCAGATCCTCCAGAGCCTGTTTGCAGAGAGGAACGGCCACCTCATACCTGCCCTGTGAGGCGTACTGGATGACCAGGTTGTGGAGGGTTCGGAGACGAGCGGGGATCTCGTAACCGCCCTGCTGCGCTGCTGCCACTGCACTGCTGTGAGGAGGCTGGACTATGGAAAACAAAGTTCAGAAAAAGTAGTAAAAATCTTTACAAAATCTGCTGTCTATAGCTATATTCCAATACCTAGAAAGCATCTGTAAGCATAACAGATGCAAAACTAATCACTTTAGGTGGCAAAATTAAAATGCTCACAAATGCCATTCACAAATCCTCTCCTGTGGCCTCATGGGATATTAAAGTGTCTATCAAATGCGCACTCGGGAATAGTAGTAGTAATAGAAGTATTAGGCCATCCAGGGACTTTTCATCTACTGTTTTATTCAGATATACTACTCTTTTGCCGTACTGTTTTTCAAATAGGGAAGTATTTCAGATGCAGTGATTGTTTTGGTCTGTGCATAAGGAAATATCAGAATGCACAGTGACAAGCTCAGTGAAAATGAAAATGTTGGGCGGAGTTGAAGTCAATATAATACATTTAACATTACAAAGATGAATAAAAAAAGCAGTAACACTTTTTGACAGTGTCCTTGTTAAATATGTACTTACTGTAACGATAAATTATGCATAATTACATGCAACTAACCCTAAACCAAACCCTATAATAAGTACATATTGTTCATTAATTTAATCGGTACTTAAATGTATGATAACACTGCATTAAGTACACCTTCAAATAAAGTGTAACCAAAATAGGTATGATTAAAATCTCTACTATGTACTTACTTCAAAAAATAATTTACAGACATACGGCTAAGATTAGAGAGAGGTTTAGTGGAATGGTTATATTGAATTTGAATATTTAATGTAATAGTTCACTTTTAAACAACTTTTGCTGATAATTTACTCACCCCCATGTCATCCAAGATGTCCATGTCTTTCTTTCTTCAGTCGAAAAGAAATTAAGGTTTTTGATGAAGGTTATTTATTTTTGAAATGACCGAACTTTTCGATAGATAAGACCCTTATTCATCGTCTGGTGTCGTTTAAAGCCCTTTGAAGCTGCACTGAAACTCTCATTTGGACCTTGAACCGTTTGGTTCCCAATGAAGTCCATTATATGGAGAAGAATCCTGGAATGTCTTCATCAAAAACCTTAATTTCTTTTCGACTGAAGAAAGAAAGACGGGGATATTTTGGAGGACATGGGGGTGAGTAAATTATCAGCAAAAGTTTTTTTAAAAGTGAACTACTCCTTTAAAGGATCTGCCAGTATGTTTGCAGTAGTTATGACAAAGCAGATTGTTGTTGTTTTTTTTAGCTTGTTTTCAACTATTTTAACAGAAACTGGGAGTGCTGATATTGATATTAACCTTGATTCAGTTTCAAAAAACTGTACATTGTACAATAAAAACAATAGTTACTGTGCGGGGAAAAAGAAATGTGATTCCAATTTAAATCTTGATTTTGTATATTTTTTAGCATTTTAGAGTTAGATTAATACGTTAATAATAATTTAAATTAATAAATTATACAATTAAATGAATCTTTTTTATCATTGAAAAATTATTAAAAAAATTATTAAAAAAAGCTTTTAAGTCATCTTGAGCCTCACCTTAAATTTGCTAGACTATTGGAATCAGCATTGGTCATTAACTGATAAGTCACTTTTATGATTTCTTTTCAGAAGCTGCCTATGTAAATGGAAGCACACAGTTCACAAGGTTTTTTCCTGGAACAAAGCCTCTATGTTTGAGTCAAGATAGTCAATTATCAGAAGTCAATATATAGCTTTCCCCCTAAAAGTAAAAAAACATGAACCGAGACCCCAGAAAGCACTTCTTCTTAAGACTGTCACATTCAGGCACAAGACCTAAGAGAGCATATTTTCTGATTAGAAACATGCCTCAGACTTAAAAAGACAAAAACAAACTTTAAATTAGCCAACACAAATAAACTAAGAATTAATCAAAAACATGGCAGAGCAAAATGACAGTGAACGGATTACATCCCCACTACTTCAGGAATGAGGAGGAGAGATTAATGCGATCTTTCTCAGAGCAGATTAATGTCGGTCTCTTTGAAAAACCCTGCTGGAGATCACTTGCTGTAGGGATGCAACACTGACAGTCAAACAGCCGTTTGGCATGCATGTGTCAGAATGAGGGCTAATCTGAGCACGGCAGTGTCAGCCTGCGACATACGAGGCTTTAAACTCCCGTGAGCCGTTGCGCACTCTGACACATGTCCCGGGCTGCCTTTTGATCCTCTTCCACAGTCAATGAGGCAATTATCAGGCAGGACAACAGAGAAAGTGGAAGGGTGGAAAGAAAACGCAAGACGGGAAACCGTTTAGCAGAAAATACGGGAAGGAAGAACTGTGGTTCTCTTCTCTTCCCCCAACAATACACTGCTCCTTTAAAGTCTTTCAGAATTTACACTTTTTACATGTTTATTTTGCTAAAAAATACATTATTGGTAAAATATTTTGATTCAAAAAGAGTAAGCAGAGCATGATTTTAATATTTATGAGCATGTAAGCAAATTATATGAAATTTTTATATTTTCATTTTCATATTCTGGTTGTACCGTGGTACAGTGATGGTATCAGACGGCAATGTCACCCGACGGTGAAGTACAATGGGGTACAAAACACTGAGACCACATTGAAAATCTTGGAATTTAAACCTGGGAATAAATTGAAAATGTATTTAGATTTATACAAATGTAAACAAAGATATTATCAGTATATGCAACCATTCAAATATTTGAGGTCAGTAAAAAAAGACATAATAATAATTAGACGTTTTATTCAATATTGAATTGATCAAGAGTGACAAATAAAGGTATTTAAAGTGTTACAAAATATTTATATTTCAAATAAAGCAGAGCAATTTTTTTTTAGCAGCAAACCAGCACATTACAAGTATTTTTTTAAGGATCATTTGACTCTTAAGTCTTATAGAAATACAGTTTTGCCATCACAAGAACAAACTATATTTTAAAATAAATCAAAATAGAAAACAGTTATTTAAAACTGTAATAATATTTCATATTCTGTTGTTTTTTACTGTATTTTTGATCAAATAAATGCAATTAAAACATTATTACAAACCCCAAGCTTTTGAACTATAGTGTAAATATTTATTTAAATGTATTTAAAATATATTGTTATTAGATTTCATTATAAATATATATAAATATATATATAATTTCTAGATCACAATGAAATGTTATCAAATCTGTGACATACAAATTAGAAGTATTTCCACTAATGGCTTCTGACTTTTAGACCACAACTGTATCCAATAAGCCTGAATGGTCCCCCCATTCTTATATCATGGTGTTTCTTTTCTTTCCCCTTCTTTGTTTTGCCAGGTGAGTGCTACTGGGGTACTTACTGCCAGGACCGGGTTCATCCTGCTCATCTGGGAAAAGGTCATCCAGTGTCTCCCTACTGGAATCAGAGTCCTTATCATCCTGATGAGATTGAGGTGGAGAGAAGTACAGAGTGAGACCAAAGAAAGACTGACACCGAGATAAAGGCTGTGTGGTAAATAAGACCAGGTCTCACTGATGGGCTGAGGTCCTGGTCGTATTTCTTGAGCTGGTTCATGAACTCCAGATGTTTCTTCTCCTCCTCCAGCTGAGCCACGCTCTGCTCGCTCTTCTGCAGCCGCTGCTGGGTTCCTGCCAGCTCATCCCTCAGCCACTGGTTCTCCTGACACAGCCTCCGCACCTGGAGAACAGGAAAAAAATATGCTTTAGGGCACTAGAGCTTTTAAACTCATTTGCTGGAGCGAATAACAACATTGACAGCAGCCCAATTTCAGGGAGTATTTTCTCCTTTATTTTCCCCATAGTCATTGAACTATATATATATATATATATATATATATATTTTTTTTTTTTTTTTACATTTTATGATATTTCTTGGTAATTGTGTGTAATTATTAACCAATTCAACAATTTTTTTTTTTTTTTTTTTTTTTTTTTTTTCAAAAATTAGATTAAAATCACACTGGCTTGTTGATGTTTGCTTCATGAACCTGACCGTGGGCACTCCATTGTACCATTGTAAAGTGAACCATGCATCCAATTTTTGCCATCTCCTCTTACAGAATGGCTATCCCACTGAAGTGGTAAACTGTTGTTAGATCAAATGGGAGTAGGGGGATGGAATTAAATTTAAGTCTGGTATACAGACCAATCTGCCAATGAACCTGAGAGCAGAGTTAAATTTTTGATGTGGTGCAGTGTGTGCGTCTATGTACCTGTGCTCGAAGCTTCTGTTTCTCAGCCTCCACTGCACTCAGGTGCCCTGACAGAGCCATCATCACCTGCGCCGATCAATAAAAGACAGACAGAGAGTGGCAATGGTGTTACAATGGTTACAAGCAAATTAATTCAAAAAGCATTTTCTCCCACTTTGGAAGCATTTCCACACTGCACCTGTGCCTCGCTAAGACCCAGCTCCAGCATTTCCATGGAGCGTTGAATCATGGCCGTCTTCTCCTCAACAGCACGACCCTCTTGGCTCTGTTTGAGGCAGCGCAAGGTCCCCATCAGCCCCTCGAGGATGACCTGATGTTCTGCACGGAGCGCCTCCAGCCCCTGCATGACCTCTCGTGTCCGACATAGCAGCTCGTCCTGGGACAGCTTCTCGTCGGGGTCCCCCTGCGCCTCCGTCTCCTTCACACACACCACGCTCGACATGTCCTCACGCATCCTACACAGAGATACACAATACAATATGAGAAGAGAAGCCTGGAAACATTTCCTGTTAAGGACAGGGACAAGAGCCTGGGACATTTTACAATGATGTCAAGGGTTGACAATAAGGACTGCCTGATGGCCCGGGGTCAGTGCAAACGTGTTGACAAAACGTGCCAGTACTGCATCACGAAAGTTTTTAATTTCCAAGTGTTTTTAAGCCTTGCCAGTTTAAATATTCAAGCGCAAGAAGACTCGAAAGAGAACTCAATTCAACAGCGCACAGTATTGAATTGCGCTCTCTTTCACATCTTGCGCTTGAACAGACATATTCACACAGAATCACATTTAAAAAAAAAATGCCGATTTCAGCGAGTATCCTACATAGTCTTTTATATCTTAAGTGAATATTATTAAACAGTTGAGAAATAAAACGCATGTGAGACAGTATTTCGGATCCCTGCAGCTCTGTAAGTGATAGCAGCCTAATATTCCTGATATTAATATTCTGCTGTCTGTTTTAAATGTTAATAAAAAAATAATAATGAAATCACACCGCTCTTGACTGAATAACTTTAATATGAATTAATTTACATTTAATTTATACAGTAAAGACTATTCAGTGCTATTTTACGCTTACTTTCTCTACCTGAAAACTAAACTTACCTAAAAACACAAAAACAGTGATTATTGTATTTGTTTGTTCTATTGTATTTGTGCTATTGCTTGTAATTTGATTATTTGTTCTCACTTTATTACTGATACTCGTCTTTAACAATATTTGAAATTATTTGAGTTTTTATGAGGCTAGTTGTTTTTGGTGTCACAACCTTATTTATTAAGGTTAAGGGTAAAAAACAACAAAGACTAGGCCTATTTTATTTATTTATTACTTATTTTGGTGGGGCCACTGAAAATGTTGGCAGGGCAAGAAAAAAAAATAAAAGAATAAAATAAAATGTAACCACAGTCTCAATCGGGCCACTAGAAAAAATCCTTAGCATTTAGTCTGATTATGCTTATTTGCCACAGTCGGCTGATGGTGGAGCAAATGCTCTGTTTACTACATATAAAGCTCTTTCTGATTATGTGATGTTAGCCACTTATTACAATATAAGTTATTCGTGCTAAGAAAATAAGAGATTCAAACAATAAGACTAACTGTGTTGAGCTAACAATGATTAGTTTTCTGTTGATAAACGTATCCAAACAGTTGCTCACCTGTCTAATGAAACACATAACATATTAAAGTGTCTTAGGTGTTTCCATGGGTTCTATGGAAGTAAAATGGATAAAATGGATTGCTTGCTAGTTCTTATGTCTTGAAACCCCAAACAAATAATTCAAGTCACTTTAAAGTGGTGAAAATATTCCACAAATGTTCCAACATCTCAAGGCAGAAGAATGAATTCCCTACCAGCTCCCATAAAACACCATGGAAACTGAAGCCAATATGCACTGTACAAGGCAAACTGAACCATACATCCATACAGTTTTATTTGCTTTTAATCTAGATTCACTGAGGCAAACTTCCATGATGTCTTCAACAACTTTTATGTAACAGGACTAGGAACCTATAGAACGGCTTGCACGTAGTAAATAAGCTTAGACCACTTGCAAAGCTTTTAACAATGATTGTTTCAATTAACAGTATTTGAGTTGAGGCAATGGACATCGGCGAGAGCAAGATATTAGCTCAGATTTAACCAATTAGTTGAGATGGACTACACAGATAACTAGATAACTAGGCAAAACACAATGTTATGGTGCTCTATATGGTTGAGAGGGCATTACTATGCAGTGTCTATGGTATTCTAAGGCATTTTAAACATTGCTGAGTGGCGAACAAACTGTATTACTGACCCAACCCATGATGTTCTCTAGATATGTCTCAGAACCTTTCTTCAATGTAATATTCTTTTATGGGCTTTTAAAACAGACAGTATTCTTCCCTTAAACTCTTATCTGCATCAACCCCAAAGAATACTTCAGCTTTGATGTGAACGCTTAAGCATATGTGCGCAGCCTTAAAAGTGTCTTAGATTTGATGCTCAAACACATGCGCACTAGACAATTTCGACCTTGCTCAGTGTCTGCGCTATTTCTTTCCAGAAGTTATGACCAATAAAAATGGTCATTGCAGACATGTGCAAGTTATTTGAATGCAAAAAAGCTCCACTAGAGCGCACATGGAGAATGCATTCATGGTCAATAGAGTATATTTTGAAAGGCTTGCGCTGTGTGGAAAGTTACCCTCTGCCGTTGACCCATGCCAGGCCATCATTGACCACACTTTTAGTGACCGATCGGACAACCCGTCGGCAGCTTTTCAGCTGATTTTGCATTTTGAGACCACCGGTGAGAGATATCACTCTGATTGGCTGTACAGCTTAGCGAAAAAGTGAACGAAAAGAATTACAGAAGTGACGAAAACAAATAAATCAAAGTCAAAAAGGCACAAACAGTTGCTTTGTTCTAGAGCCCGACCGATAAAGGATTTTGAAGGCCGATACCGATACAAATATTTTTGGGTTTTAAAATCCGATATTCCGATATATCGGCCGATATTTTTTTTTATTAAATATTGTTGGATTTCACACACGTGTAAAAGAAAAGCTAACTTTTCTGCACAAGATACGTTTGGTACTTTTTCTCTATGTCTAAATGTTCACTCCTTGCAAGTATAACTTACACTTTACAATTCAGGGATTGTAACTAGAGATATGCTAGTTATAAATAAAGTAATAATTACTTTATTTAGGCAGAAAAAGTTCATTGTTGTTTCCAAGCTCATTAATGTTAACGTTAGCGGTCTTCCACTGATGATAGTGGCATTAGCTTGCTTTGTGGTTACCTAGTCTATGATTAGCCATAATTTAGCAATAGATAACATCATACTGCAAATTGTAAAACATACATTTTCAATATAACAGGCCAAGGAGAGATGATTGAAGCGTGTTTCGTCCATTTTTGTTTTATTTTTTTAAATATTCATTTATCTGCCATTATAACTGCCGATACCGATATTTTGAAAAATGCCCAATATCGGCCAATAATATCGGCCGGCCGATATATCGGTCTGGCTCTACTTTGTTCTTTACGGATTGTATATTTGCAGTCTTAACTCTTTCCGTTTCTCTTTTTGAATTACAAATACAGACTACTGCCACCTGTTGGTATGGAGAGTTATTTGACGGGTTTCTTCAAAACACTAATCTTCAGTATGAGCCTTAGCAAACAATACTAACACGAAATTCTCCAATAAAATGAAAGACACAAAGTTCTTTGCACTCAGAGGTGCAATGACAACGCAAAGCTTCTCTCCAAGAATTTGAGAGGCTCCTCACTCTTCCCAGCCTGCCACAGAGACACAAAGCAGCTATCTTTGCGGTTGCCAAGACACAACTCACCTGGTAAGGCAGATCACAGTTGCTAAGAGAGTAGGTGAGGCACGATAGCGCAAGTTGGGAAAACCAAAAGAGCAAGAAGAGAGAACCTGAGATTGTTGCCCTTTCAAAAGCAATACATCCAGACTATAGTGAAGATGTTGGGAAAACCCATTCATTAGAAATAAACACGTACGTCGGCTCCTCAGATTTCTTTTCTCTCATGAAAACAACAGTACAGTCTCCTCCCTGCAATGCTGATGTAAAGAGGAGGAGGGTCTACTGTTGATTCTGAGCTTCGGGCCTGTGCTATATTCCTGTGGGAGGGGAAATAGGAAGTGAGACAGCAGAGATTCATGTGACCCATAACGTAGCTCGTCGTCTGACAAATGACAACCATTGGGCAGAAAAAACAACTGCATGATGGGAATCAAAGTACTGATGAATCTGCTGCACAGACCAATATCACAGTTCTTTTCCAACGGAGAAAAAACATAAGAGACTCGTCCAACCTTAAAGCAGGTGATATAACAATATTACCAGTAGACATTAAATATTTCATTACAAATATTGGCAAACATAATTACATTAAAGCTACACTGTGTGATTTTTACCCCAATCTAGTGGTGAAAAGATATATGATCATCCAATGAATATTAGTTTCTGTTCCTCTCAATACGATTTCGTTTGAACTCCTACGGTGGCCAATGTAGTCCAAGATTAACATGGACCTCGTCCATGAGTGTTAACTCAAACGTAAACGTGAAAGGCGAAGCTTGAATTAACGGGTATGTCCCTCTTTGGCTAATGTACTTTCAAGATGGAGGGGCAACATGGCGACCGACATTAGAACCCCTTACCCGTATGTATTTTCAATGGCATTTTATACACTCACGAGAATACTTTATTACTTGAACAAAGTAAATATACATTAATGAGCACATATATTTTTGAAAGAACTAAGTGTTTTTAGCTAAGAATAAACTAAAAGAGTTACACAGTGTAGTTTTAAGTTACTACGAATATATCAGAGTGCAAGGCATTTTATTTAGTAGCAAAGGAATGCAGCGATATTCATATTCTGGATGTTACCAATAAAACGGGTTTTGGATTATAGGTAATAGATTGCAGTCAGATATTAAAATTTGAAACAATTTTCTCTGAATAAATTAATACTAAAATCTATACTAGAAATCTATACTATTTATATGTATGAAAAAAAATTAAAAAATAAACTTAAAAATAAAAAATAAATTTCAGGGTGTTAATTAAGTTATTAGTAATAATTGCAATTGATAGTATTAGATTATGCAAATGAAATCTAAATATGAAAATTAGGGAAATGAGACTGCATTATCAACAGATGCTGATTAAAAAAAAGAATAAATCCAATACTGGCAGATAACTGATATAGTACCAAAATGGTATGCATCCCTACTTTTCCACAAAAAAAAAAAAAAAAAAAAAAAAAACGTAACTAATTTAATCCACTTTTGCCTATGTAGAATATACGTTAGCACAGGTTAATTAAAAAAAAAAGGATAGTTAGTTCACCCACAAAATTTACTACTCACCCTCAAGTCTACATGAGTTTCTTTCTTCAGTTGAACACAAAAGAAGACATTTTGAA